AGAAGAACATCACACAGCCTCACAGGAACTCCTCTCCGGAATTAAACACGCAGGAGTGTGGTCCCAGGGGCTGATGTGATGTATCCATAGTTGCCAGAAAGAATCCTCATTTCCAATTTAGAGTCCTTGTGAAGAAATTCCATTAGAGGTTGATGTGTTTTAGATTCCCAGTAATATAAAAGCAAAGGGGTACTCAGAAGCTTGTATAAATCTTTAGACCTTCAAATGATGGAGAGGGGAATAGAAGGGTATGGGAGGGTGCAAAGAGTGGGTGGAAACCTATGTGGAGTATACTCCTCAGCATGGGCAGCATGGCCTGTTTCCATGCTTTACATTCTTTATAAATCTTTGTAAAATCATTAGTTAGGCTGCAGTTGGAATAATGTGCAGAGTTTGGGGCATCTTGAAAAAATCTGAAAGCCTTAGAGGGTGCAGATGAAATTCTTTAGAATACCACTTTTGCTTATTATGAAAGCTTGGAGAAATTTAAGTTGGCTTCCATAGAAGAGGTTTGCATGTGCAATGCCCTACCTGGAATCATGGGTGAGAATCTCTGATCAGCATCTGTGATTCTCACAAAAGTGACCATTCTTCATGTGTGACCTTAGGTCGTGGTTGGAAATTGGTACTGTTGGCAAAAGGGTTTGTAAATAGTGTATCTAGAACTCTGTTTGGATGTAGATGTCCTGGCAGGCACCACCATGTACTTTGGCTGCACTCTGGATGTCAAAACTGACATTGGTATTCAAATGGAGATCCAGATATATACAGGGGATTATTCACTATTTACAAATTATTTTGCTGTTATTGCAAATTAGGTTTATTGAGTGTTGAGAGGTGAATTGACAGTCAGTCATCCTACCTCAACTCAACCCTGCCTTCATAGAACGTGCCACACAGATGCCAGCAGAGTGACTGTGAAGTAATCAGGAGGTGAAGGGATTAGTGAAGGTATTCCTCTCTAACTCCGGGATACTGAGACCAGTTGTAGCTTCATCCACTACTACCTCAATTGAGATTAGTAAACTCAGCAGTTTGTGAGAATCAACTGTATGGTTCACTATCACATCATATGGTGCATTTACCCTCTAAGCCATGGTATGTTTCATTATAAACATATGCAAAATCTTGGTAGACTGCTTTTGAAATTAAATCTTTGAATTGTTTTAAGATTAGCTAATAGAGAGGGGAGTTAAATCATCTTACTGCTTCCATCTCTTGGTAATAAATAATATTGCGGCAGATGTTATTAATCTAATTGCAATTTAGCGTCATATCAGCCATGGTTCCTCATTTAGGAGACACTTTGTGCAGAACACACAGCTTGATCAATGAGTTTTGAGATTGCAGCAACACAAAAAACAGGTAAAGGATTTGAAACAGATATTCTAAATTGAGTGGAATTAATAGATTAAATAAGTTTAACTGAACAGAAAATAACTTGTCAGAAGGAATATTCGTTGTTGTCATCAAAGTTGACCAACTGTTCTCTCATCAAAGGTTTCTTTGCAGAATACAAAATACATTTTTGTGTATTTTTTTCCCATGGATGCCTTTGTGGTGTTCCAATGTGCAGACAGAATTATTAGAATGTTGTCAATGAGAAGCCACATATTAAAAGAGTCAATGATGCTTTCAAGGATTAACTGTCTGCAAGTTATTCCTTTTGTACGTTAACATAGATATCTAAAATTTTCTAAATATTGAGAAGATAGATAGATCAATGAGCTAGCATCACCAAGAAAAATCCCACCCACAGTTCATTCACTGTGTTAGCTTGCTTCAATTGGTCAGAGGCTTGTGGGTTTAAGCCTGGAACAAACCTCATGTCTGGACTCAAGCTCACAATCTATGGAGGTTTCTGTAAGGAGGAGTTGGTGAACAGAGCATTGATGTTATCAAATCTGAACATGATAAATGTATGGAATAGGTGTCATCCATATACATGCGTCAGTTAACACCAATGCCTGTGGATGACATTTCGAGAGAAAGCATATAGATATTGAAAAGGAATGGGAAATTCTCTGGATGTCTTGGCTAATAATCTTCCAAATTGATCATTACCTGATCGCTGTTTGTAAGACCTTGTTGATGCAAAAAGTTGCTACATTGACTACAAAAGCAGTAATGGTTGGAGACATTTCGAGCTTGGAGGCACAATAAAAATGCAAGTTCTTTCTTGGAGAAGGCATCAGAGAAAGATAGGCAAAGCAATAACAAAATACAGCAAATAATTAATTTTGCGTATGAAAAGATTGTCCACATAATCCAGACAGTGGCATCTGGATCAACTTACCATTTTAAACAACAATATCAAGCAGATGCCATACGTGCTGATAAGCAGCTCGCTGGAGGGAACAAATTGAAAATTGCAAGAGAAGTACGTTATCTCCATTATATCTATAATACACTAATCTGGGTATATACTGGGGATATAAGAAAAAAGAACTCTTTTTGCCTGCTTTGAATTCAATGGACAGCTTTCTCTGTGTCAATAATAAACAGAGATTGCTCATGCAATGATTCATTCAATATTGTATTCACTTGTATAAACTTTACAGTTGTTGAATAAACTGTTGCTATTATAAGGCATCCTTTCTGCTAAGCATCATTATTGTGGTGGTTAAAGCCATTTATGGTGAACAGAGAAGTTTCTACTGCTGGATAGCGTGACTCAATGTAAAATTTCAGATAATAATAATAATAATAATAATAATCCTTGCATTTGATATAGCGCTTTTCACGTCGGGAGGACGTCCCAAAGCGCTTCACAGAACACACTGTAAAGTGAATTGACTGCATATTTGTGGGCGAACGCGGCAGCCAATTTGCGCACAGCAATGTCCCACAAACAGTCGTAGATTGAAAATGACCAATTTATTATTGTTTTTTTTTTTGAGGGATTATTATTAGGCGTGTGGAGTAAGGAAACTTGCCCAAGGTTTCGCCCTGCCTGGAATTGAACTCAGGTCTCTCACTTGCAAAGCGAGTGCTCTAACCACTGAGCTACAGGACTCCAGATTGAAGTTATGGAGCATTGCTACCAAATACTGTGTGCCTGCAGCACAATCTTTTATACAATGAATAATCATTGCATGTGATATAGCTTCCTTCACATTGGGAGGACATCTCAAATTGCTTCAAAGGATTTATTGTACTGTGCAGTAAATCAAAGGATTTTTGTATTTTGTGAGTGAATATGGCAGGCAATTTGTGCACATCTCATGAACATCCTGGAATTGATTTTCTACCAATTTTGCAACAGATTTTCAAAGACAGGAGTTTTAGCTTATCTGGGACTGAATAAAATGTAATCTTTCTCTAACTTGGCATGAATGTGTGGGACAAATGCTTTAAATTGTCTCCTTTTTTGGTCTTCTCATCCCTAGTTGTTTGTGCTGCTATTATATTTTATCTCAATTTGCTAGTTTATAAGGAATGCAAAGTCTAAATATGAAGGTCAACAGTTGCTTCTTAGGAGTTAATGTTGGTCCTGTAGCTCAGTGGTAAGCAAGAGACCTGGGTTTGATTCCTGGCAATTTCCTTACTCCACATGCCTGTTTATCTAGTAAAGAACCCGGTTGTTAGTCAATTGGCAGATCGCTTTTACGGGGGTAATAATCCCTCAAAAAAAATTTGGTCACTCAATCCACGACAGTTTGTGGGACACCTCTGTGCGCGATTCACTGCTGCATTTCGCCCACAAAATAAACATTCACTACACTTTACATTATATTCTGTGAAGCACTTTGAGACATCTCGAAGACGTGATAAGGGGCTATATGAAACGCAAGGATTATTATTATTGTTATGAACAACCATGAAATGAATGGTCTTTTAATTACATATTGAGCTTTAACTGGATTAACATTTTACTGAGGGTATTCTAGAATACCTGATGCATGAACATCTGAAATATGGACTAAAACACCAGAAAAATGAACTTAGCTTTATCAAAGGCCAATTTTATTATGGTTCACTCTGTACCTTTGAGTGAGAAACAAAACCATATTTTTCTCCCTGTGAATAGATCACTGTTTTTAGTTACTTACATTACATTACTTTTTGGCCAGGAAATATTCCAACTCATTCTTCATATCAATGAAATAAGGTAATTGTTTTGTCAATAAAAAATAAAAGCTTATTCATTCTACAAAAGGCAATGTAGAAAGAAATGACTTATTCTGTAATCTTTTTCACTTTGTATGGATGGAAATTCACAATAAATTCCAGCTATACTGTATTTTCATTCCCATGCTCTTTACTTGTCTGAGCACACTGATAGCTGGATTCGACAATAAACATATATTCTGCTGCCAAGCCTTTGCTCATGTTCTGATGCAACTACCCTGAAGCATACTACAATTTGACTCCTTCAGAGTTAGTACAGCCTCCACTAAATACATCTCCATTTGTCATATTCAGAAATGAACAGTGAGATTCAAACCTGTATACAAGTTGCTCTGTTACACTAACATTTAACTGCTCTGCTACTTTTATTGATCAAAGTTTGCTGAAAACAGCTGGTGCAACTCCGTTCTGCTAACCTCTACAAAGCTGTTTCATGAGCACCTTTTTTCACTGGGGTTGCTAAATTGAAGGGGACAAAAAACAAATTAAACCTTTCATCACAACTCTACTAACAGATCAATCTTTGCATAATGTATCTGGAAATTTAGTAATAAGAGAAAAAAGCAACATCCATAGTTTGTAGTGTAGCTTACCAAGTTAAATATTAGAGGCTAATGAGATATTTCAGCTTTGTGTTGCTATGCAATAGGCAGGTGTGGTGTGGCAGTACAATTCACGTCAAAGTCCAAATCCTGGAGGTCATATGTCCACAGTTGGGGAATTCAACACCTGTGCTGTGGGGCAATAATGGTAGAGAGAGGGCTGGTATCAGGAATAGATCCACTAGCCAATCCTCTTCTCCAGATACAACCCCACGCCCAGTACTTGTGAAATTTAGAACAGAAAAAAAAACTTGCAACAAGTCTTAATAAGACTTTCAATCTTTCCACTGATTTAAATTCAGCAGTTTATTTTAGAAGCTTTGTGGCAGTCATATAGAATCAAGTTTAAATTCTCTACATAAAACACTGTACAATTTGTTTCAAGTAACTAAGATGAAGAGAAACAAAACACAGCTCATTTTATCTTGACAGGGGTAGCAACAAATGGCTCCAAGTAAGTGAACATTAATTAAAAACAAGTACAAGAGCTCCCCCAATAGGCTGCTAGTAAAGGCATTGCTACACAGTAGCGCTGAAACAGACAAACCCCAAGGTTACTGAGTAAAGTTCTGGTCTGCATCGAATAGAGGTGTGCAATATCAGCTGAGGATAGAATCACTTCCAACTGTGATGTCCCTAGTTTGAATAGAGTGCCGTCACTCACTGATACAGTTTGAATAAAGCCTCTCCCTCCCAACACGTCCCAGTTCTGATGAAGGGTTGTGGACCTGAAACGTTGACTCACTTTCCTTTCTCCACAGATGCTGCCTGACCTGAAAATTGTTTCAGATTTTCAGCATCTGCAGTATTTTGCGTTTTGAATAAAGTGCTATCACTCACCGATAATAATGGCTACTTGGGTGAGGTGCAAAATAGTGCCTGGCATCTGTAAACTAACTAAACAAAAGGAAAAGCCAATTCCCTTCGGGTAAGGGGAGAAAAGGTAGACGAAAAAAATCCAAATGGGGTCGGGGGGAGGGAGAATGAAAAGCTGTACAAGAATTTGGAAACTGAGCAATATTTAAAACAAATGAAGAGGCAGAACATAATACAGTATTTATATGGAAACAAGTGCATATCAACTGAAAAATCTCCATATTTCTTTTGATTTTTTTTATAAACAAAGGTACACACTCCTGTCCTGTTATTGTGGGTGGAAGGCTGGAATTTTTTTTAAAAACCAACTGCTATTCCTTTGACCTTCATGAGAAAAATCATATTCATGCATAATTAAGATACAACAAGGCCTGACTATCAATTTACTCCTTGCATCTTTTCCACCTGTAATGTGATCTTCATCAAAATGAGCAATTTCAGTTCCCAAATTGCACTTCCGCCCACCCGCCATTCACATTAAATGTGTGCAATTCAGCTAAACGTTAATATACTTAACTCCCAATTTAACAGCTGTATCAATTTGATTATTTCCATTTCCCCACATTAGCCACCCTTTGTCTCTCCTAGAATTGACAATTTAATATCAGTTAGTGGCATTCATAGGTAGTTTTGTGTTCCAGCATTGGATCCAACAGAAACTGAGCTAGAAAAATAGAACAGCCTTGATCTACATAAGTTTCTTTCAGCTCAAAGACTTCCATCTATCAGTCTGTTTTGGATTCAAGCATCTCAGAACACATATTCAAATCCCTCACCTAATCCTTCTTCTGTAACATTTTGTAACCCCATTCCTTACTTTGTTTCACTCATTTAATTACATGTTTTGTTTGATTGTGTGTTTTTTTTAAAAAAAGTATACATGATTAATCTCCAGTTTTCTATAGAAATGGTGTGTACGAGTCAAAGTGTGACCATTCCTCGATTGCTGTTGCTTTGCTGCACACAATAAATTTCTTCATTTTAAAACAGTGTGTTTACTAACATTCAATAAGATGAAAACAGGAGATCTTCTTGAAAAAAAATTGTAACCAAAAATGAAACAGAACCAAGTCCTGCTAGGTTTTTCTTTTGCGTTAAACTCTTCTTTGTCTTCTGTGTAATGGAATCAGAAAAAACGCCCACAAAAAGAACAATGGAGTAAAACATCACACTGTTTCAAGGACAGATGCCATTTCTCTGAACTGTTTGGAGAAATTCTGTAACGATATAGAAATAAAATATTTACAGGACAGGACACTTCTACTTGAGATATATAGTGCATATGTAGAAAGGTATCATACATTCGGTTATGGTGGTCTCAAGATCAACTGAGATTAGTCAATTGCTGGTTTCAGAAATTGAGGTCGGTCCAAAAGGGAGTTTAGGAGGAAAATATTTTATGCAGAAAGTAGTAAGAATATGGAACTCACATGTGGTTGAAGCAAAACACATCAATGTATTTAAGAGGAAATGTCACGCATACAAGAGGGAGATGGGAATAAAAATGTATAGAAAATGGATTAGGAGGGGTGGAAGCTTGTGTGGAGTATAAACAATGGTATGGACTAGTTGGGTTGAATGGCCTTTCTCTCTGCTGTATTATTCTATGCCCATTTATACTGAATGTAATTCACTGGAAAGCAAGCAATACAATATAGCGATTAACTGTGAAATGTGATCATGACTAAATTAGCTGTAAAATCAACAGCTAGTTTCAACAAAATTATCTGTACAATACTCAATGTTCTCTTAAAACCTGACATATTTAAATCTCCAATCAGTTGCCTCAAAGTGCCAGAAACCCTTTGTAACCCTAATGTCTTACAGATGCCTCTTTCCGTGAGAAGAGCGAGGAGATTAAAAATAAAGGAAGAGATAGTGAAAGCTGAAAATACTTCCTATGCAAAGGTGTTAAAACATGTTTTCCTAACTAGATAGCTCCCACTGATTCTAAGTAATTGCACAAATAGTTTGCAGTTTGCAAAGAATGGACACAAAATATCTGCCAAGAGACACACTATTCAACCTTACCTCTCAAAGTGTGGCATTGTTCATTCTAAGCTACAAGTAGTGCACAAAGATGATTGTCAGGCGCAGACTCAAACCCACAGGGGCAATAAATCTCTTCCAAACACACGTAAATCACATTACTGACCTGAAATTGAGGAATGGTCATTTCAAAAGATCTGCTGATCACATCTGAAGAATCAGCTACTTTAAGGGTCATGGTGACGTACGGGTGGTTCAGAGATCTACAGCTGTCAGAACTCATTGCCATTCCCAGCTTCCACTGCAAGTCCACAAGCTGGGTATGGAGGGGAAAGAAGAAACAGAAGTTATGTTTGCAGAAGAAACAGACAGACTTCACCTCTACGTCAGGTTGTGACTTGTGGAGTGCCGCAAGGATCAGTGCTTGGGCCTCAACTGTTTACAGTGTAGATCAATGACTTAGATTAGGAAATAGAGCTTAATGTATCTAAATTGACGGACGATACAAAGTTAGGCGGGAAAGTAAGCTGTGAGGAGGACACAAGGAAGATGCAAAGGGATATAGACAGGTTAAGTAAGTGGGCAAGAAGGTGGCAGATGAAGTATAATGTGGGTAAGTGTGAAGTTATTCACCTAGGTAGAATAAAATAGAAAAACAGATTATTTTCTAGAGGGGGAGATACTAGATAGTGTTACTATTCAGAGGGATTTAGGTGACCTTGTACCACAATCACAGAACGTTAGTATGCAGGTACAGCAAGCAATTAGCAAGGCTAATAGCATGTTAGTGTTTATTGCAAAGTGGTTAGAATACAAGAGTAGGGCAGTCTTGCCGCAATTGTATAAGACCTTGGTGAGACCGCACCTAGAATATTTGTGCAGTTTTGGTCTCCTTATCTAGGAAAGAATATACTCGCCTTATGGGGGTGGGGTGCAATGTAGGTTCATTAGGTTGGTTCCTGGGATGAGGGGCTTGACTTACAAGGAGAGGTTGAGTGGACTAGGCCTATATTCTCTAGAATATAGAAGAATTAGGGGTGATCTTATAGAAACCTATAAGATTCTTAAGGGCATTGAAAGGATAGATATTGTGATGCTGCTTCCCCTGGTTGGAGAATCTAAAACTAGGTGTCTTACTTTCAGGAATAAAAGTCAGCCTTTTAGAACTGAATTAAGAAAACATTTCTTCACTCAGGGGGCAGTGAATTTATGGAATTCTCTATCCCAGAAGCCTGTGGATGCCCAGTCATTGAGCATATTCAAGACTGAGATCGATAGATTTTTAAAAACTAAAGAGATTAAGGGATATGGGGATAGGGCGGGTAAATGGAATTAAGTTAGAAGATCAGCCATGATCTTATTAAATGATGGGGCAGGCTTGATGGGCCGAATGGCCTATTCCTGCTCCTATTTCTTATGTTCTTATGTTTGCAAGTAAAATGTTCATAATTGTTCGAAAAAAAATTCACAAGAGGATGTTTAAAAATGTTGCTGAACAGAATGAAGTACCAAACGTTCAATGAGAAATCAGTTACATGATGAAGTGTTGTAAGATGAGTGAACTGACCTACCAATTCATGAGTGAAAGCCACAAGCTGGCACAGTCAACAGCATTAGTTGTAATTGCACAAGTTAAATCCCACACTTCATCATAAATTTTATGTCAGACAAATAATTAAAATTATAAACATTCGATGTACAATTTAAATGGGAAAAGATTTGTGCAATTTCAAGAAATATTTCAAAACGATGGCATCATTGTGAGATGCAAAAAAGATTAAAGTGCCTTTCACAGACCTAGAGAGTGAAGACAGCCAGCTCAACACTTTTTTTAAAAAAAGCCAAGAAATCTACTATCACACCTGACCCATGGTCAACATATTCTTGGCGTCTTCTGGTGTTGTGATCAGCTTGCCCTGTTCGCTCCACACATGATGAATGACTTGAAGAGCCTGCTTGGACCAACTGTTGCTGCTTTCAGCTAGTTTCGCAATCAGTTCTTCAGCTGACATACTGTTCTGCGCTGCTGACCTACCAAATCAGAGGAGAGAGAGAAACAACAAAGTTGGCAGATATTCAAATTCTTTCCCAGGACTTCAAGATCACAAATTCTTTACTTTCCAGGCTGATGAGTTGCTGACTGCAGTTTGTAACTTTTGAAGATCTTTACTAAATCTCACTTTAACTTTCAGATTTTGTTCATGTTTTAATTTTTTCTTTATTTTTTTTCAGATTTTCTGAATTAAGATTATACAATACAAATTTACAACAACAACAAGATTCCATTTATAGAGCGCCTTTCACGTTGGGAGGACGTCCCAAAGCGCTGGACAGTTGGGTCAGGACCCGAGCAGGGGGAAATGGTCAGGGGGAGGGGAGGGAAGGGAGGGAGCGAGGAAGGGGGGAAATGGTCAGGGGGAGGGGAGGGAAGGGAGGGGGCGAGGAGGGGGATGGTCAGGGTGAGGGAGGAGGAGGCGAGAGGGGAGCTGAAGGCACGGTCAAAAAGAAAGATCTTGAGACCGGCCTTGAAGGAGGAAAGGGAGGAGGCGGCGAAGGCACTGGGGGAATAGAGTTCCAGAGCCTCGGGGCTGAGAGGCTGAAGGCCCGGCAGAGTTCTGAATGACCTGCAGCTTGTGGAGGGAGGTGCTGGGAAGGCCGGCGAGGAGAGAGTTTCCATAGTCCAGCCTTGAGGTGATAAAGGCGTGGACCAGAGTTTCAGCAGCGTGAGGGGTGAGGTAGTGCCGTAGTCTGGCGATGTTTCGGAGGTGATGGAAGGCGGTGCCAGTTGTGGCGCGGATGTGGGGAAGAAAGGACAACTCAGGGTCGAACAGAACCCCGAAGTTCCTGACTGGCTTTGAGAGGTGGAGAGTGCAGCCTTGGATGCTGATGGTGTCAGCGCCTGAGGTGCGGAGGCGCTTACGTGAGCCAATCAGGAGCCAAATTTACATGGTGCCTTTCATGTCTGGAGGACATTCCAAGGTGTTGGACAGTCTAGGGTTTGCATCTGAGCTGAGGGTGGGGGCTGGGAGTGGGGGCTGGGGTTTGGCCAAAAACCCCGGCCTCAAAATTATAACCCCTCATCTTCTATGACATACCCTTTCCATGGTTCTGATGTCGCTTGCAAGGCGAGTGCTCTAACCACTGAGCTACTGAGCTACAGGACTCCACTGTCTATCTGCACTGAATGAATCCTTTAAAAATTGCACTCATTTCCTTTCAGATCATTATCTGGACAAGGTTAATTGTGGTTACTGTTACATAGGACATTTCTGATCTGAAATGCTCAATCCCTTGGCGTGAAACTGAAAGAGTGAGACTGTAGTATAAGTATCAATAGAAAATCCAAATAATTTTGTATAGAAACAATTCAGCTTCCGCACGTCTTAAATGCAATATTTTCAAAGATTACAGCCTAAAAGCAGGCTAACAAAGTTAAATTAAAAGAAAATTATTTGCCTCTGCTTCTAATTTATTTGCTGCTCAGAAAAGAAAAGTATTTCTTACTTATGTGCTGTTTGTTCAAACTACAGCTTGCCAATCGCGTTCTTACAGCACCACCACCAGGACACCATTGAAACAAAAAGGCACTGATTTAAAAAGTCTACTTTTCTCTAAAACAGGGAAACTATAGATTCAGCTGAAAAATATCAGAAAAATAATTTTAGAACTACAGTAGAATCTTGTTATAAGGCAGGTCAGCACTCTGGCATTCACTGCACACATAGGCAGAAAGCCATCTGAGTGTGTCTGTGATGGCAATGTTACAGAGCGGAGCTTCAACCTTTCCTTATCGGCTGATCACATACACAGACTGCACAGCAGGCAGTGCCCCCTCCCTAAACCTGTACTATGCCTAATTGTAGCACCCCAACTGGTGCCTGACTCAGATAAGCTAACTCAACCCAGACCAGGATACAAATCTAAGATTTAGTCCGCATAGATTAGTGCTAGTGTGTGGTGCCTTCACCTACTAGTCCTTTGGAGGAACCCAACAACTAAATTTCATTATATGAACCCAAATGTGATTTTTTTAACAAGTGTGGTAAACATTTGTATATGAAGTTACAATCTTGCAATCTGTGCTACCTGAAAAACAAGGAAACAGCATGGGCCAACTGTTTAATGGCTTCCAAGTCCAAACTCACGCCAGTTGTTTGAAGTCTCTGTGGAACCAGGATCAGGTGGAAGGATAAGAACACATGTGAACAGACACGCATACAGAATACCATTAAACTGAAAGCGATTAAAGAAACTGCAGTTTTTACATGTTGTAAAGAGCAATAACATACCTCACATAATTTGATTGCATTCACCCCAGGTACCTTACACTGAAGATGCAACATGATCTGCTGGCACTGTTGTGGATTTAACAAAACATGATTCATCAAACTGAGAATGCACCAAACCACATAGCTGAAAGGAGAAGCATTGGCTGATGGGCATATTGTACTAGGTTTGCTGCCAACTAAACAAACATTTCAAAGGTAAATATATTCTGCAATTCATCTCCATAGTTACAGTTTGATAACAAATGATAGCTCTGCGGCTTAGTTGGTAAAGCTCAGAGTGAAACAGAACTGTTCGGAACTGACGGTTGGTTGATCTCAGTCAAGGCAGCGGTAAAGCACTGCAACTGGTCTCAGAATTCTTGGTCTATAAAGGAACGTAGGAACAGGAGTAGGCCATTCAATCCATCGAGCCTGCTCCACAACTTTCCAAGATCATAGCCAACTGAATTCCACCTCCCCGCCCTCTCTCCCTATTCCTTGATACCCTGGCCTTTATCTATTTGCCTTTTAAATTCCTCAATTGCCTCTGCCTCCAATGCCCTCTGGGGAACAAATTCCACAATCCTATCACCCACTGTATGAAAACGATGTTTCCTTATTTCATTTTTAGCCTGAAGTTTAAGACTACGGCCTGTTGTCAATTCTCTCCCCAGAGGAAACAGTTGCTTAGAATTAATCCTGTTGAATCCCTTTGTAACTTTGTATACCTCAATCAGATAACCCCTCAACCTCGTGAACTCGACAGAATACAATCCAAGTTTTTCCATCCTTTCATCACATGGCAAGTTGTGAGGATGGCAGCAGAAAATTGCAGAGGCATATAGACTGCTTTAGGGAATGGCCTATGACAAATAGAGTTCAATGTGGCAAAGTGTGAGGTGGTTCATTTTGGACCCATTCTTGAAGGAGAAACACTTAACGGAATTAAAGAGCAAAGGATCTAGGTTCAGAAGGTAAATCAAAAAGGCTAGTTTATTTGTGAGTTGAGCATCTGAATACCTTCCTTGGAACAAGAAAAGGCAAGCAAGGACTCTTTGGGGCTGAACTGGCTCCTAGAAGACATGCCTGGCAATGTCATATTAAAATCAAGTTGATCCTTTGTGGCCAAGTCCACAGTATTTCAAGGCACTATTGATAGTGAACATGCTAAACTTCTGAAACAGCCAGTTCTATGTTAACAAAAGGTCATCATATTGGAGGCAGCAATAAACCAATGTTTTAGATTCTATCTATACTCACTTTGGGGCAAACGTCGGCATTGGTTTTGAAGCATTTGTTTCGACAAATAGTATCTCAAAAACATTTTGTCTTAATACTGCACCTTTAATACCATCTACCCCAAGGTGGCAAATAAAATCATAAAGCAAATGAGGCCATTCAGCCCATGTAACTACACCAGCTCTCTGAAAGAACTCATTGTCTCAGTCTTTGTCTAATTTTCTTTCAAAAATAGTTGTAGATTCTGCATCGAACACCATTTGGGGAAAGGCATCGCAAGACCTAATCCTCTGGATATAAACAATTCTAACTTCTCACTTGGATTAAAAAATCTTAAAGTTTATGCCCTTTAGTTACCGACTCAACAACCAGTGAAAATATGTTTCTTTAAGCCACAGATTAATACTTACCAGCTCTGCAAACAGGTCTTGGGGAAGTTTACTAATACTTTCAACAGTTTTTTCAAAACCTATAATAAGAAAAAGTTCTTAAGGACTATATCTGCAAATAATCAAATTCTTATGTGCTTATTGATACCTCAGGATACAGCATATAGACTGGGGACACGACAATATCAAGCAACTGCCAGAATGGTGGTAGGCAAACTAGATGGACTTTGGTCTTCCTTTGTCTAGCAATTTCTTATATGCTAATCTATAGTAGTTTTTGTCACATTGAGTGTCTATAACTTTATCTTGCAGTTACGCTAAAGTGTTCAACAGTACTATACCAATCAATACAATTCCAAAAAAAATGCAATAAAGCATTAACCAGATTTTAGAAACATAGCTCTCTGTCTATTTGTTTTAAACATGATTTATGTACTGCATCAGCAGGATTGTGAGACCAAAGTGATCACCATTACAAATAACAGCAACTTGCATTTATATAGTGCGGGGAAGCATCTCAGAGCGCTTAACAGTGTCGGTGCCTGATGTCGAGACAGGGGAGGGAGGAGGTGACCGTAAGCACGCTCGAAGAGGAAGGTCTTCAGGCGTGATCTGAAAAAAGGAAAGGAGGCGACAAGATGTAGAGATTGAGGGAGAGAGTTCCAAAGTTTCAGAGTATAGTGGCTGAACGCAAGACCGACATGGTGGAGCAGAGGGGACGAGGAACAAGCAGGAAGATGGAGCCAGCCGAGCAGAGGCAGCTGATGGTAGAATGAAGAGTAAGCAGTTCGGAAAGGTAGGGAGGTGTCAGGGCATAAAGGGATTTGTAGACGAATGTGAGGATCTTGAAGTCGATCCATTCTGTGATAAGGAGACAGTGGAGCCTGGCGAGGTGTGATGGGAATACAGAGTTTAGAGTTGGTGAATATACTTCAAGTTTTAATTTATTTGGATTTTGTGGGTAATGGAGCTGGGAAGACTGGTGAGGAAGGCATTGGAATAATCAATGCGGGAGGTAACGAAAGCGTGGACAAGGGCTTTGGACGCATTGGTTGTGAGGTATGGTTGGAGGCAGGCAATGTGACACAGTTGGAGGAAAGCAGTCCTGTAAGTAAATAAGGCAGCCAATTTCCAAACAGTAATGTCTCACAACAGCCATGAAATGAATGGCCAATTTGATCGGCGGGGGTGGGGGACGGGGACAGGACGACGACTGCTGGACACTAGGTGAAACTCCATTTTCTTTTTGAATAGTGGATCTTTAACTTCTGTGACTTTGGTTTAACATTTCATCGAAAGGATGTTAACTTCAACAATGCAATGCATCCCCAGCGCCACACTGTAAGTTCAAAGTCCAGACATGAGGAATTCAGCACTGCAAGACACTACCGCGCATGAAGGGTACTATACGTTAGGTGCCTTTTAAAACAGAAGGATGTCCCAAAGCCCTGGACAGAGAAGGGTTTCCACCTGAGCTATGGGTTGGAATCAAGAGAGGTGGAAGGGTGCAGGTGGGAGGGTGGCAATCCAAAAGAAAGCGCTTGAGATGGCTCTGGAAGGAGGCAAGGAAGAAGGGGAGGCGGAGGGATTCTGGGATGGAATTCCAGAGGGTGGGGACAAAAAGGCTGAAGGTCGGACCGCCAAAGGCAGAGTGGGTAGTGCGGTGGAGCAGACAGGTTGGTTGGGTGTTAGTAGGTCACAGATAGGCAGGAGCAAGGTCGTAAATGGGCTTTAAAAGTGAGGATGAGGATTTTAAACTCGATCCTCTGAGGGATGGGGAGCCAGTGGAGCCCAGCAAAGATGGGTATAATCGGTTCACGGAGCTTGGTACATACAAATGCAAGTTGTTGCTGAATCAACAGCCTTCGGACTCAGAGCCAGGTTGCAAGCAAAGGCAGTTGAGGCCAGGACAAAAAACTGCTTGTTTTTGTGAATGGGAGGACAGAATGGTGAAGCCTCTGGAAGGATAGGATCAAATGGACGGAAGGACTTCATCTGAACCAAACTTACGAACTCGTACTTTACAGAGTGCCTTTTACGTAGGGTAAAGCAACTCCAAAATAATAATAAAACTTGCATTTGATATAGCCTTATGCCCTTATCATGTCTTTGAGACCTCTCAAAGCACCTCACAGATAGAATCCACAGAGGGCCACTGCACACACCTGTATGTGTGTGAACACTGGATGTGTCTTTGAGTGTCTGTGTGCACTGAATGTGCGCGCGCACGCACCGGGTGGGTGGGTGGGTGTGTCTGTACTGGATGTCTGTGTCTGACTGGATGTGCGTGTGTGTGCACTGGATGTGTGTGTGCACTGGATGTGTGTGTGTGCACTGGGTGTGTGTGTATGCACTGGGTGTGTGTGTATGCACTGGGTGTGTGTGTGCACTGGATGTGTGTGTATGCACTGGCTGTGTGGGTGTGTCTGCACTGGCTGTGTGGGTGTGTCTGCACTGGCTGTGTGGGTGTGTGTGTGCACTGGGTGTGTATGTATGCACTAGATGTATGGGTGTGTGTGTGCACTGAATGTGTGTGTCTGCACTGGGTGTATCTGCACTGGGTGTGTGCACTGGGTGTGTGTGTGTGCACTGGGTGTGTGCACTGGGTGTGTGTGTGTGCACTGGGTGTGTGTGCACTGGGTGTGTATGTGCACTGGATGTGTGTGTATGAACTGGGTGTGTGTGTATGAACTGGGTGTGTGTGTATGAACTGGGTGTGTGTGTATGAACTGGGTGTGTGGGTGTGTGTGTGCACTGAATGTGTGTGTATGCACTGGGTGTGTCTGCACTGGGTGTGTGGGTGTGTATGCACTGGGTGTGTGGGTGTGTGTGTGCACTGGGTGTGTGTGCGCACTGGGTGTGTGTGTGCACTGGGTGTGTGTGTGCACTGGGTGTGTGGTGTGTGTACACTGGGTGTGTATGTGCACTGGATGTGTGTGTGCACTGAATGTGTGTGTATGCACTGGGTGTGTCTGCACTGGGTGTGTGGGTGTGTATGCACTGGGTGTGTGGGTGTGGGTGTGCACTGGGTGTGTGTGTGCACTGGGTGTGTGTGTGCACTGGGTGTGTGGTGTGTGTACACTGGGTGTGTATGTGCACTGGATGTGTGTGTGCACTGAATGTGTGTGTATGCACTGGGTGTGTCTGCACTGGGTGTGTATGTACACTGGATGTGTGTGTATGCACTGGGTGTGTGGGTGTGTGTGTGCACTGGGTGTGTGTGTATGCACTGGGTGTGTGTGTATGCACTGGGTGTGTGTGTGCACTGGGTGTGTGTGTATGCACTGGGTGTGTGTGTGCACTGGGTGTGTAGGTGCACTGGGTGTGTGGTGTGTGTGTGTATGCACTGGGTGTGTAGGCACTGGGTGTGTGTGTACACTGGATGTGTGGTGTGTATGCACTGGGTTTGTGGTGTGCACTTGGTGTGTGGTGTGTGTGTGCACTTGGTGTGTGGTGTGTGTGTGCACTTGGTGTGCGGTGTGTGTGTGTGCACTCACCAGGCGAGCTTGTGCCCAACTGCAGCTCGAGCGCGGCCATGTTCGCGGCTCAGCACCAGCGCTTCCGGTCGGGGCCGCGCCCTCGCTCGCGGCTTTCCGTCGGCTCCGGCACTGACGTGCCATTGGACAGCGTTGCCCCGCCCCCCCGTGACCCCTGCGGTGCGTACACCACGCGCCGCCCGGGGAGATCCGCCGTCAACCGCCGCTCCGCCACCCCCTCAACGGCCGCCTCGGCTCAGCACGTGACCGCCCCCCCCCCACCCCACGGCCCGCGCCCCGCGAGTCGAGCCGCTGTGACGCCTGAGCGAAGCCGCGGGTGACAGCAAAGCGCCGAGTCTCCGGTGCTCCCTCCCCCTCCCCCGGGCCTCCCCCTGTCAAATGGACCGTCTCAGCCCGGGTCAGGTTCACCAGACGGGAAGCGCGGGTTTCACAGCGAGGAACTGAGCTCAGGAGAAGCTGAGGAAGCGGAGACGGGAATCGTCGTGTGTGTGTGTGTGTGTGTGTGTGCGCGGCTCTCCCTCTCTGCGCCTGTGGCCATGGAGTCCCAGCGTTGGCTGCCCTTGGAGTCCAACCCCGATGTACGGCAGTCGGCAGTTTTGTGCCCCCGCACCGCTCGACGTTTTAATCCCGTTTGACGACCGACCGACCGACCGACCGACCGACGACAAAAAAAAAAAAAAAAAAAACCCGTCCACTCGAAACGTTCGCGTTTTAGTTGCGATTCGATGGCGGTTAAATCTATATTCTTAACTCTCTCTCTCTCTCGCGCGCGCGTGTGTGTGTGGTGTTTTTTTTTCCCGTAGGTCATGAATCAGGTGAGAGAGGAGGTGGTGGTGGAGCTTCGAGAGGTTGGAAACAGTAACTGTGATGTGACGCCGCTTTGAATCTGAACTGTCAGTTGTGCAGGAATTTCACTGAAGGAAGGAAGGAAGGAAGGAGGAGGGGAGGAAGGCCCTGTGCTCCAGTGTCAGTAATCTATGCTGAGTTGTTGAGTTGTTAGGTTTTGCACTATTATAACCCCAGGTATCAATCTGTTCTTATCCTGTCATGGTTTGCTGAGTTCCAACCCAACTAAGGGTAGGGCAGAGAGGGCGATGAACAGGGCAACAGGGGTCAGGGTTTTGCAGCTGATACACATAGCATTCAGTATCGTGGTTGGGTAATAAATTCGTGCCTCCGCACTTTTAAGAAAGAGGTGTAAGTAGGGAAGAACTCCTAAACACAAAGCCGGTTTTAATCGTTCGTTTTAATAGTACAAATGATGGAAACGTGCGCCCTAGAATATCGGATGGAAACCTGTCTGAATTTTAACCTTGCTTGCAATTCAGTTTAAGGAAAACAATTGTGTAAAATAGGAAAAGATGCCCAGAAATAGCATGCTATATTTTTCCTCCAGCGAGTGAAGCATCTTTGCTGTTGAATGAAGTTCATAAACGAACAAAAAAATTGTTGAATTATTTTGTTGGGGATTGTTTAAACTGCTTTTATGTTATGGATTTGGCCTCAGAGGTAATTCTACTGCTGGAGGCAGCACATAATGAAAGATGGCCAGCATTTCTGCTAACAAAATGGGGAAAACGCTTTTTTCAAGTTGCATCTCCCTGTGTCTCTGCATTGAAGAGATTCAACTCCATGATGAAAAGTATTGGTGCCACTGAGATTGCACCAAAGGAAATCTGAACAATTGGTTGCAACATTCGCCCACAAAATACGGTTACTCCACTTTACAATATCTCCTGTAACGTGCTTTCAGACGTTGCAATGATGTGATGTGGCGCAATATCAAATACAAATATTATTATTATCTGGCCCTTGTGCAAAACCATTAAAAATTACAGCGCAGCCAGGCCTTTGGGACTGCAGTTTATGAGGCATTAAAGCATATTGCCTTCATGAAAAGGTGGCATATCTTTGAGGGATTTGTTCATTTTTAATTTGGGGAACGTGTATACGTGATCCATAATTCTTACATATTCTGATGGTGATGAGGTTGCAAGATTGACTGTAAGCACTTTCATAATGTGCATAGTTCCATTTCCACACCTGCCCATGCATTGAACAATACTGAGAAAAGTTAGAGAGGGAATAGTAGATGCTTTGATTACAATCTTTTGATTATCCTTGGATATGAAAGAAGTGTCAGAAGACTAGTTGGTTGCTAACGTTCAAAAAGAGACAGTGTGATAAGTCAAGTAACTGTTGACCAGTCAGCCTAATACCGTGAATAAATGTTTAGAGGCAGAACGTGGGGAATAATAATAAAAAGTATTTGTTAAAGGCAGATCTTGCATGACAAATCCAATAAAAGCTTTTGATAAAATCACTGGAAAAACATAGATAAAGGTAATGCTGTGGATATTCTATGTTTTTTTCCAGAAGATTTTTTTTGATAAGGTACTGCCTAAGGCTTATTTTTTTAAAAAAAGAAATATCTTGAGTAATTTGAGGAAAGTTCTTTCTTGTTAACTGTTCAATTTTTTTTGATTTCTGTAGGAATGAGTGGATCAGAAAGTCTAGAATATTTGTGAGGAATTCTACTTGAGTGTATGTGCAGTTTGTGCTAATGTTTCCTTGATGTTGAGCAATATAGGGATATTTCATTGAATGTCTCTAAACTGAAGGGAAGACTGCACATGCTTGCTAATAGTTAATCGAGACCCTTTTGTTGTCAGCTTCTAAAAGTAATAATAATAATAATCCTTGCATTTGATATAGCGCTTTTCACGTCGGTAGGACGTCCCAAAGCGCTTCACAGAACACACTGTAAAGTGAATTGACTATATTTGTGGGGGAACGCGGCAGCCAATTGCGCACAGCAATGTCCCACAAACAGTCGTAGATTGAAAATGACCAATTTATTATTGTTTTTGGTTTTGGAGGGATTATTATTAGGCTCTGTGTGGAGTAAGGAAACTTGCCCAAGGTTTCGCCCTCTGCCTGGAATTGAACTCAGGTCTCTCACTTGCAAAGCGAGTGCTCTAACCACTGAGCTACAGGACTCCACAAGTAGAACATTATTGTAGAAATAGGGAGTTTAATTGTAGATTTTTTTTAAACCATCGCTGCCATTCTGTACAGAACAGGAGCTGGATTCAAAATTCATAACACCCAATTGTGTGTGAGTTATGCTCTCCCCCCACCCCAATCACCCTCATAATATATATCTTTGAATCTGCTGTCTTAGAATGAGAAGGTATGTAAAATACCCAATGTGATGGAATGTATATAATAAAACTATTCAATAGGAAACAAAATTCTCTACACACAATAATTTTGACATGAGCTTTTTAGGTAAGAAAAATCCAAGTTTATTTTGTCACTAGAAACTATTCAGCTACATTTTCATATTAATGCAACCAATATTCATTTGAGAGTTATGTAGATTTTTTTTGTATTTGTTAAACAATATGTTTCTCTTTCAAGCAATATAATGGGAAGACTGTAGGATTTGGTAATCTGGAAGGTTGAGATCAAACGGTTAGAGGATTCTTAATCCAAACTTTTTTTGATAGAGGCCAGAAATGTGGAGGGAATTAATTCATTTGAACCAGTGCAATCCTTTTTAATAATGCTTGCAATTGCTTTAGTACCTTATTGCATTGTTGAATGTCTCAAAGCACTTCACTGGATTTTCTGTAAAGTGTTGGACTGTATTTTCTAGGCCAACGCAGCAGACAATTTGTGCCCGGCAATAGCCCACAAACAGCTGTGAAGTGAATGATCAATTTTATCTGGAGGATTGTTGGCTAAGAAATGAGGAGAAACTTCCCTTCTCAAATAGTTAAGATTACAGGATTTTTCACACCCGCCTAAACGGCCAGACAGTACCTCAGTTTCTTCTGAGGACAGGATCTGCGATAATGCAGCGCTCCCCAGCATTGCTGTGGAGTGTCGCCCCAGACTGAGCTCACTGTCGTCATGTGGGATTTGAACCAATAAGCTTCTCACTCAGATGTCTAGAGTGGTTCCAACTGAGCCAGAGGCAGATTCCAGGATGGTTCAGCATATGTGTTATTTAAACAATGTGATGTACCAAACTCTGCTTCCCCATTACCCCAGTCCTTGCCAGACTCCCAGAGAGGATCGACTTCAAGATCCTCACTCTTGAATTCAAATCTCAATTCCTCTACACTCCCCTACCTCTCTGACCTCCTCCTCACAACAGTGCCCATTGCTTTTGCTCCACCGGTTCTGACCTCCTCCTTGTCCCCCGAATCCTCCGCTACACCATCGGCGGCTGTGCCTTCAGCCACTACGCCCCGAGACTCTGGAACTCCCTTCTTCACTCCCTTTGCCTTGCCCCCTCTCTTCCTAGTTTCAGGTCTCGGTTAAAGACCTTTCTTTTCAACTGTGCCTTTGGTCACCTTCTTCCCCCTCCCCCTGGCTCGGCCCTGGGATCCGTTATTGTGAAGCTCTCTGAGGTGCCATCCAGGGTGGAGGGTGCTATATAAATCCAAGTTGTTGTTGTAGCTCAGTCAAGCTCTGACATTTTCAGCTGTGTAGGGATTCACCACTTAAAACATTTGCTTTAGGATCTTATGTCGAAGTCTTGTGCTTCACACAAATGTTTTTTTTTAATATAAGTCTGGTGACCCTCTTAAGTGGATAAACAATCTACCAGGAATGTTTTACAAACAGCAAGAAACTGAATGGACAATTACTTGTTCATTGTGAATCTAATCATGCTTGAAATGTTTTTAAAAATTCTTTCTGATCATACTTCATTTCTCGAGATCATAGAAGGAGGTTATTCGGCCCATTGTGTCTGTGCTGGGTCTTTGAAAAGAGTTATCTAAATCAATCCCACTCCCCTGTTGTCTCCCCATAACCCTGCAAACTTGTCCTCCCCAAATAATTATCTACTTCTTTTAAAAGTTATTATTCAATCGACTTCTACCACCCTTTCAGGTAATGCATTTCCAGACACGAACAACTGTTATTGTCTGAGATTCTCAATGTGAGATTTGTGTTCTTTATGCAGTAAACGCCTGATAACGTGACCCTGGCTTAACTTGACATGACCCCTTAAGTCATCATGCTGTCAATATACTGGCTGGATTTATTTATGTATTTATACATAATTTGCCTAACTTGCCACTCCAGATAACTCTTCAATGAGTCCCTTTCCCTTGGAGTGAAGAGTTATCAGAAGTTTACTGTATTTGCTTTTTGTTAAAATTATCATTGATCATTGAGGTCAAAAGATAATTGATTTTAATAAGCAGTCTGTTCACTATTATCAAGTTAGCTGATTGCAGTTTCAAGCTTTGATTCTGATCTACGCACAACTGTTCTATTTTGGTTGCCCACAAATGAAACAGTTACTATACAGCATGTTAAACTCTTTGGGACATCCTCCCAACATGAAAGATGCTATACCAAATGTAAGTATTATTACACAGCCTATTCCTGCACCAACAACAACAACATCTGAATTTGAATCATTCTGAATTTATGTGGTGCCTTTCACATAGGTTTCTGTCTCAAGATCGGTTATCGATCAAAGAAGAGAGGGGAGGAGAGAAAGTAGAGATTACCACAGATGCAATTGAAGAGATATATTTTAAGGTGGGACTTGGAAAGGGGGTGCAAGACGGAGTAGAGGGAATTTCAGAGGATAAAGAGATAGAATGTGAAGGCTCAGCCACTGATGGTGGCCTCAAGCAGGTGGGTGATGTGCATCAAACCCAAGTTGCTGATCGGAGATGGCAAACAGGAGTGGGGGAGCAGGATCAGAGATGAGGTGCTTGGGCATGAAGGGATTTATTGGTGAGGACCTTGAAATTGACCCATGAATAACAGAATAAGTGGAGTCTGGCAAAGATGAGGGTGATGGGCATGTGGAGTTTGGTGACGGTGAGGATCTGGGCGAAGGAGTTTTGGTTAAATTGTAGCTCCATGGATGTTGGACCTAGCAAAGAATGCATTGGATGCATTGGCGCAAAGTCTTAAATGGGAAGTAACTAAGGCTTGATTAAGGGCTTTGATGACTTGGTGTGAATTGGAGGCATAGGTAGGTAATGTAGTGGAGGTGAAGAAAAGTGGTGTTAGTTGGATTTGAGAGACTAAAGGAGATCTGAAATGATCAAACCGGATGTCAAGGTTGTGCGCTGGTTCGGTGTTTTCGGTGACATGCAGAGGAATATTGTGAAGTAGTTCACAACAAGATGAAGCTGTGATTAAAATGAAGTGAAGATCATAACTTGGCAATAAATTATCTTTGAGTCATAGGAATGTAATGTGGGCTGTAAAATCAGAAATTTGCTGGGGCGATAGCACATTAGGCCAGGAGATGCTTGTGTAGAGCCAATTTCTAAGACACTGCACTCAGCAAATTCCTGACTTGTGATGATTACCTAATAAAACAAACTTGAGTTAGCTCAGTAGTGTATGTACTATGGTGTTTTTTAATGCTGAATTTGCATCTGCTAGCAACTTCCAGTTAAAATTAGATTCTCATAGGAAAAGAAGAATAGGTGGGTGCCATACAGCCCACCAAGCTTGTTCCACTAATTTATTAGATCCATGGCAGATTATTTAATCCCAATGCCCACACATTATGCACTTAGACATTTGAGTAGCAGAAGTATTGTCTCCCTTGTTTGAAAATCCCTACTAATTCTACCTCACAACATTCCACATCTTCACAGCTATCTGCTGAACTCCTGTTCTAACTAAATTTTGATTTTAAGACTTCCACCCCCCGCCATGGATCTTCTACTAGAGGGAAGAGTCATCTATTGTCAAATCAATATTTTAAACACCTCAATTAAATCACCCCTCAGTCTCTGCTCAGTCTATCCAACCTCTCAGTGTTAGTCTAGCGAACTACTCACGGGACACCTTAAGATTGGGTGCCCAAAACTAAATACAGAACTCTAAATGAAGTCTTACCAGTGCCAAATATAACTAGAGAAGCACCACCTTTTATATTACAGCCCTCTTTTAATTAAGGATAGTATTCCATTTGCCTTATTGACTAGTTTCTGTACAAGTGAAGTAGATTTTAATGACCTATGGACTTCAATCCCTAGACCTTTCTGCTCATTTACCCCTCCTGGTGTATCCACATTTAGGACAAAAATAACTGTTGTTCCATCCAAAGTGTATTACCTCCTTGGATGAAATAGTGGAAAGTAGTTGGTGCCTATAGAATTGCACACTACAGAATACTGGTTCTGTGCATTTGTGGTTGCTATGCACATGATTGGCACCTCTTAGCAATCTTGCACATGTGGACACAACATTTTTTTGTCATAGAGCAAAGATAATTCTTTATACACAGCTTACTTTTTTTTAAGAGCTTGGAGACAGACATGTAAACTTACCGAGAGAGAAAAGGGCTGCTGACGTAGCACTTTTACATTCTACTGTGACATGACAATTTTCAGTTAACATTGTAGCTTATTTATATTTTCTCTGATATCCACTTTGTTTGCTTATTGTAATAGTCAGTTAATCGTCTCTGAATTAATTGTTAGTTAATTTCTTGCACTGTCAGAATTGAAGATTCTTAAAGTCATCATCTCCTCCGTAGTCACCAGCTCTTTAAATAAAAAAGGAAAACCAGATAAATAAAATAATTTTAATAAGTGTATAAGTGTACTGCTGATGTGACTGCCCTTGTTATAAATTTGCAGTGTGAAAGTGTATTGCTGGGGCTAACTACATTGTCTCTTGTCTGCAGCCAAAGTGCTTTGTATCTGGTTAGGGAAGCAAATGCCTCCCCTTTCATACACTAGATGGCAATATTAATCTGTGATACAGACGGCTGCAGTTTTTACAGGTGATGGAGAAAAAGTACACTCACTGCAGGAATGCAACCTTTCCATTAGTGTAACAGTGTAAAAATGACTTTTGCCCCAGGTATTGGTACAAAGGAGACTATTTTACCTATAATATTCCTGGTGATTGGGCAGTGTTACTTAAAAGTAATTGATTCTTTTTCTGAAAAAGGTGGAATTCAATTTCCGTTTGCCACTCACCAATTTTACTGCGATTTGCTCACCCTCCTATCTGCTCTTGGAGGCAATGATTTATGCCCATCCTTAAATGGCCTTTATTTGTGGGTGAGCCTTGATGGTGAGTTTCAGTAGGTTATTCAACTGCAGGGCCATTGCAGCCAAACGTAACACTATCCCCTGACTACATGCAGATATCCAACAGGAGTTGCTGGATAGCGATCAGGAGCAAGAAGCCCTGGCTTATTTGCCTTTACCTTATCCAGGCAGTGTAGTGAGTTGTAGTGCAGGACTAACTTGCCTCACCTGAGATAAGCTTGTTGAATACAGACCAAGATTTGAATAATATTCTGGTCTAAATTTCCTAGTGCTGCTGTGGACCTCTCCATCCTCCTCCACTGCCTCTCCTCTCACCTCAACCTTCAAGGTTCTGTTCTTGAATGGTTCAGGTGTTATCTCATACTGTCTCTAATTTGACTCCGCCAATGGTTTCTCTTCTGGCCCCCGAACAGTCTTGTGCGGTGTTCCTCAGGGCTCTGTCCTCGGTCCCCTCCTCTTCAACCTTTACATGCTCCCCCTGCGTGACATTATCCGCATGTACATGTATGTGGATGACACCCAACTCTATCTCTGCCTCCACGCTCGATTCCCAAGACAATTGACGTCCTGTCAGACTACCTGTCAGGCATTAAGTCCTGGATGAGAACCAACTTTCTACAACTCAATGTCAACAAGACCGAGGACCTCTTGATTGGCTCCCGTCAGCAGCTCCGCACCTCAGGCACTGGCAGCATCAGCATCCACGGATGCACACTCCATCTCACCAAGCTAGTCAGGAACCTGAGTGACTTGTTCGACCCTCAACTGTCATTCCGCCCCCATATCCCTGCCATGACCCATTCTGCCTTCACCTACCTCCGCACCATTGCCTGACTCCGCCACTGCCTCATCCCTCAGGCTGCTGAAACCCTCATACACGGATTCGTTACCTCAAGGCTCAACTACAGAAACTCCCTCCTTGGCTTCCCCATCTCTTCCCTCCATAGAATTCAAAATCCTTGTCCTCACTTTCAAGGTTCTCCATGGCCTTGCCCCCTCCTACCTCTCTGACTTGCTAACCCCCTGTCAACCTGTCCAGTCCCTCCATTCAGAAGGCTCTGGCTTGCTCCATGTCTCGCGCCTGACCAGCCCTACAATTGGCAGCCAGGCTTTCAACCTCTCTGCTCCCAGCCTTTGGAACTCCATCCCACAAGCCTTTTCCCTCATTCCCTCCCTTGCCTCCTTCAAGGTACGACTCAAGACCCTACTTTTAGACTATGCCATCAGCTGCCCTCCTACCTCTCTGCCCTCCCTCATCTCAACCCTGCCCCTGCACACTCAGGACCAGATCCCTGACTGTTCAGCACCTTGGGACGCTATCCCAACATGAAAGGCGCTTTGTTATTGTTTTGCTGCTAAGTAAATGTAAGTGCACCCAATACTTTCTGAAATTAGGTAAGCAGGTTGCGTCCCTCCACAGAGAGAGAGTGCATTCCATTCCAACGTCTATCTATGGGATTTCCATGTGTAGGTGAGATGCATGGAGTTCTCAGTTTGGTTTGGATACTCTTAAGCATGGTGATGGTTCTCACATGTGTCAGACGTCTGGTTGACCCCCCAAAAAACATTTTAAAACAAAAATATTTTCAGCCTTATAAAATGTGCAATTGGGAGTGAATGTAATGGGAGTTAAGCACAGATGACCTGTTTTTAATCTTGCAGACTTAAAAATAGAACGTATGGTCTAGTGCTCTCTCGGAGGCACATTAATCCACTGGGCCATCAGAGAGAGGGGTGGTGGGGGGGCGCTTTTTAAGATGAATGTCCATGTCAAATGATCGTGGGTTCCTCTCCTGGACTGTTTCTTTAATTTAAGAGGCCATTGTGTTTGTTTAGTGAATTGAATTTTGTGGATACTTGGTACCTTTCAAAGAATAAGACTGTTCCTGCTGAACTAACTCAATGTCTTTCTACCAGTTTACGAGGCAGTTGGGGGTGTTGCCCAGCTGGCAGTTTGGAGATGTCTTCGGAATGGATCCTGAGCTTCTGAGTATGGTGCCAAGACCCGTCTGTTCAATTCTTCTGCTTTTCCCTGTTACAGAAAAGGTAGAATTTTTCTTATTCCATTCAGCTATTGCTAGCATCTTCTGTAAATAAAGCATGATGAGCATGGCGCTGTGAGGTGAGGGCTTTATAGAGACTTATCCCCCAGGATTCCTTTCAAGATATAGGTTTTACTTTTTTTTCTTTAAAAGTACAGTATTCTATTTTAAAGCAATATCTTGTGTTTGTACTAGTTTACTTTCTATGTTCTTTCCTCGGGTGTTAACTCTTACTGCGGTACAGGTTGGGTTTAGCTTTTAGCAATACTGTGCAATGAAGTCCTGTAATAAACTAATCCAAATGGCATACATGGTCACATCATACTTCAGCTCTAGTCCTATAATGGAACTAATGGTTGTCACTGGCGCCATGTATGTTGATGGCAGGTGAATTTGTTTTACAACAACAACAAGATTGCATTTATAGAGCAGAGCGCCTTTCACGTCGGGAGGACGTCCCAAGGCGCTGTACAGTTGGGTCAGGTGTGTATATGGGTGACTCAAAATTTATATAATGATATCATCACTAGTTGCTGTCAGGGTGGAATCAGGAGAAGCAACAAAGTAAATTTAGCAAAGCTTCTCTCTGTGGCCAAGTGGATAAAGATGGAAGTCAAAGAAGATCCCAGGCACACGATAAATGTAACAGATTCAACAAGAGCTCCCTGGTTATAGGAACCTCCATTGTTATTTCTGCGCCCAGAGCTAAACATGATGTTTCTCCCCTTCGGGACTTTCCCAATTGACCATTTATCATGTTTCAGCTGAGAATGTATGTGTCAGCAGGCTATTTGGCTGAGGAAGGCATCACAGCTGAGCCCAATATACACAACACACACCTTCTAGGTAAATATAGATCAGGAGCTGGCTTTTTTCTTTCTCTCTCCCCACCTCCCCCAAAGCTAGGCAGATTATACCAATTGTAGTATCCATACTGATCTGAGGTTTCTATACTTTCACCAATTAAACTCACTGATCTAAAGTGGAACGATGACTCAAAACCTATTTAACATTCAGTAACCTATGTGTGTAAACAAGTTTGCGTTCCTGTTTCGTTGACTGTACCGACACGAATTGTTTTTAATTCATTTGGAAAATGATATGGTACTTGACAGACATCGGTGGTTGAATCCAGAAATAAGCCTTAAAATGTTATGTTCAAAATAGCTAGTACTTAAGATATCCAACGTAAGAATTCATGAAGGAGTGGAGAAATTATAGATTTGGCATTCTCTTTGTACTGTGGAATATTTAAACTTGTGGTAATGTCATTGAGGAATGGGCTAGATGCTGCATGTGTCTGTTTTGAGTATGTCGGGCTGCTTTGCATCAACGTAGAAAGTTAAAACTCTTGATGTGCCTGGAATCTATAGTATCAACTTGGTACCGATACTTTAATTCGATTAAGAATTTTCATAATATTTCTTTCGCTTGAGGAAAAAAATTGTTATTACAAATTGATAGAGGCCTTTAATGTTAATAGCATGAATTTTATATTCAGATTGGCAGCAATATTAACGTTTCTTTTTAGTAGAATATTAAATTGATTGCTTCAGAGGTTTAATATCCTGCAAACCCTGAGCTTCTTTTTCTATCAGTTGAACATGTCTCAAGTCTGTAAACACGTTGTCTTGTCTACAGTCATCAAAAGGATAAAGTCCATCACAAAATTGTGTTTGAGATGATAAAAGCAAACTGATGAATAATTGTCAAGGCATTTACAAAGTGATACAGTCATTTGTTTCTCCTGAGTTCACCACTCCCTAAATAGAGTTATCAAAGTAACCTCTATGATTGTTTTGCTACAACGATTGTGAAACAAGGGATGAAAAATCCTGAAAGGGAAAAAGTCTCAGTTGCTTTAATAGATGTGGGATAATACAGATCTTTTGCAGTTGTTACTGAGATCTTTTACAATGATAATGACAAAGGGCCATAGTTATAAGACAATTGTGAGAATTTAGGAGAATTTTTTTTCATACAGAGAGTTGTTAGGATATGGAATGCCCTGTCAATAAGCATTGTCTGACAAAGCTTCTCAATGTCCAGCTAAGACCATCCTACCCATTAGGCTTTGGTTGCAGGATTAATGGCAGCTGAGTGGGAAGAATCCCTGCTCCGCCTACTCCACGCTTGCTGGTCTTTCATAAAAGTACATTGGAGTACTGTGAACCGAGCTGTCTCAGGAACCGGACCAAGACCCCACACACCTGGTTGAGTCAATCACTTTTGCCACATTGTGTGGAATGAATGGAAAAAATGTGGTCTGTCTGTGCAAATGTTAACATGCCTGTGGCATTTTAACTAGGAGGATGTGACCAGCAGGTGTTTTGACAGAGACCTAAGGGTCTAAAAGATAAATTGCAGAATAAATACCCCAAAGCAATTATTGCATATTAAGAAGTTTTTCACTGAGGAAACTATTTCTTCTATTCCTGAGTAAATCCATATTTTTCAGGATTAAACATTGCATTCTTTAACAAGCGTTCCCCCATCCTTCATTTCCAATCAGATTAGCTCTTTGCATACACTGCATTTAAAAAGAAAAAAGATTGACAAATGCTCCATGTGTGATGTTGCATATGTGATGCTGCTTCCTTCAACAACGATTTGCATTTATATAGTGCCCTTCACATGGGAGTGCTTAACAGTGGTGGAGGTTCAGCTTCAATTCTGCTTTCATGACAATAAATTCAGCATTATCAAAAGATGGCAAGAGATTGATCACATTTGATGTGATACATGTGTTCCGTATCGTTGAACTGCATTCACCAGGAACTCCCAAGATCTGAATTGGCTGTTCTGTCCACATCAACACATGTTTTGTGAATGGAACTTTCTGGTTCACCTCTTTTCATTTTTAGTTAAATAAGCAAAGCTGCTAAATTCAGCCTTAGCTAGATATTACTAGATAGAAAATGTGCCTGGTAGCAAACTCTTGAATTGCTGCTGGTTGAATCAACAAGGTTTTGTTTGATAAGCTGCATTGAAGAGAAAAGCAATATTGGCCCATATATGAGAGTGCGTACACCCATCACATGCTTTAGAATCTGAGTTTCTGACTATATGAGTCATAGTCAGTTGATACTGTGACCTGTTTCACATTAACTCTCCCTGGATGATCCACAAGTGCCTATCCTTGTAAAACAACAAGATTGATAATCTCAAGGGCAGGGCAGGAAAAAACGACTCAAATCTTTGGGACTACAGACAGCAATAACAGTAAATTAATAACAGAAGGCCCAGATAGATAAGAGAATCCAAATGTTTTGCTGTGTGCCCTGTCACAATAGGTGCATTAGGCACCATAGTATGTAATTCGGTCCATAACTCTGTCTGTCCAGCACCTTGGAACGTCCTCCTGATGTGAAAGGCGCTATACAAATGCAATTTTGTTGTTGTTGTAATGGTACCTCAGTGGATACAAGAGATCCACATCTGGGCAAGCTGTCATATAGCTAATGACTTTGCAAGTTCTGAGCTTGTGGGTGACAATTTTAGCCAAACTCAAAGAACCAAGTCATCTAAACTCCAGATCTTATTGGGTAACCAAGACACAGATGGGGATTGGTATAACCCCTCAAAATAGTGAAAGCAGGACTGCATTCTCGGGTATTGCACATTTGTACAGAATGTGAACTTGTCACTGGGCTTGAAATCTCACAGAACCCTCCAGTTCAAGTTCCCAGAGATTTTAGAAAAAGCGCCCAAGTGCATTGTGACCTATTAAGAAACTTGTCCTCTCTCGATGACAGAAGCTGTTATTGAGAGATGAAATGGATTATATGGATTTGAGTTTGGGGGCTGTTTGTGTGGAAATAAAGTCTGATGGTGGAAATCTAACAGTTGCCTGTGAATGAAAACTTACAGCTGACCAGTTTCCTTTAAGGGTAAAACCAGAATGCCTAAAGATTCAATGCATTTCTGAGGCACAGAACAATGTATCCATCTCTTTCAGACTGCAATGACTAAAGCAGGAGAAGCTGTTAATGTGTCCAGCTGTTACTGAGAACAGAGGCACCACAGGTTTGCAGGGTTATGGGGAGAAAGCTGGTGAGTGGGGTTAATAAAAGTCAGTTGCTCTGTCAAAGAGCCGGCACCGACTCGATGGGCCGAATGGCCTCCTTCTGTGCCGTAACATTCTATGATATGATTTAACCCTCCGCTTTTAGTTGAGCACCAGACCATTCCCGGAGCTGAGCTGAACCCTCCTCTGACTTGACTAGATTTGTGGAATTGGACCTTTTTTCAGAGTTCTAGTATATTCCCAGGTTTAAAATAGAATTGACATTCTAGCCAAGTGCCTTGAGCTTACCAAACTGGGAGGTTGTTCTATAATAATAATGGCTGTATGCTTTAGAAATAGCTCAGTTTTATATTGTGGGACAGTTTCTCCAGGAGCTGCTTTCATACACAAAGGTTTTACTGTAGCATTTCCTTAGCTTATGGCAGTTGGGTTGTGGATTGGTCCATATGGCGCAGTGATAGTATAATTTCTTTGCTGCACTGAAATGGAATGTTGGAAACGCTTCAAAGGTCAAATTCCCAACTCTTTCAGCACCAATGCAAATGCAGAATAAGTTGCCTGAGATAAGTGTTGCTGTATCTTTCTACCTGACTGCAGTCTAATTTGTTTTCAGAATTTTAGGGTTTTGTAGAAGGTTCAACAATAGAGTCTTACGGTTCAGTTGATATTTTCTGACCAGAGATGCATACATAGAATTGCAATGAATTATATAGATTGTAGAACAGTGACACAGCCCTTTTGGTCCAACTAATCCACGTGAACCTCCACCTCTCCTTATATCTCTTATCCCACTCTCATACTACTCTCTCCCTCATGTTTGCACAGAGGAAAACTGACTTGGTTGTTTTGCTGTTACACTATTCTAACTAATAAAATAGAAAAGATGAACTTGTGTGGTTACTGATTTAATTCAAAGTAAGTGCAGTAAGAAGTGGAGCCAATTTAGAACAGAAACCATGAAGAAGTTGAGAGTCATATCAATCTAGAGAATGTTAACATTGAAATGTGGTTCACATTATACCCACCATCCAACTGGTCAATGCTGAAGCCCATGCTTATCAGATGTTGAACGACCAACTATCCTCCGGGTGGGGAGGTAAAATTTCAATCAATTTTAAGCTTTGACTTTAATGTAATCTCCCCAACATTTTTAAGAAGGCCCCCATATCCAAGTGCACTGACTGAAGTGGCTATATGTTAATTATATTCAAATCCAGTCCCTTGGGACGTCCTCCCGATGTGAAAAGCATTATATAAGTGCAATTCGTTGTTTTGCATTACTACTTTTACAAAAAGGCTTCAAAGTGGGAACCCACCTTCTTAATGTAATTGATCATAATGTTTTAAAGTAAATCTCTAATAAATTTTAAAAAGCTAGTCTATTTTAGCTGGTGTGTTGGCTAACCCTGCTCTAACTTTTTTTGTGATAGTAAATAAGCCTTGTACTAATTTGGTTAATATTGTAACCTGCAAGTGAGCAATCGTGCTGTGTTTTGTATTGTGGAAGTAGTTCTGTTAATGTCTGATCTCCAACCAGTGCTGTTGAATCTGCCCCTTTACACTGTAGAGGAAAACTTTTCATTTGTTAAGGATGGGCTATCCTGGCCAGAAATTGCAAAACTATATGCCTGGTCTTGCATGCAGAAAATTGCCGAGCACACCCTAAGAAAGGCATTGTTTACACTGCTGTTGTCACTGCTCCTGCTTCAGCAGTACTAAGAAAGCTTTTGGGAACTTCAGAGACATAATTGCTGCCTAAATTTGCACTTGTGTTGGTCATGAAGTCGGGGCTGGTGCTGGCAGCAATATTGCAGTGCAAATGTGCCAATGTAGGAAGCTCTGCTTTTTGACAAGTAATTATTCAGTTTGAATTGTACTTTTATTTACAAAAATAATTGCATCTTGCTGATCTTTCCTGAAATTAATCCCGAGGAGTAAATTAAAAGGGATCAGAATGTTGCAACAATGCTCAACTCTAACAACAACTCACATAGGATAACGTCCCTGAGTGCTTCACAGTGGCGGAGTCTGCCACCGAACCCATGGGGAGTAGGAAAGGGGAGGTGACCGTAAGCATGATCAAAAATGAAGCTGTTTATGCGGTATTTGAAGGTAGGGAGGAAGGGGGCAAGGCAAATGGATTGAAGGAGAGTTTCGGGGCATGGTCATTTAAGGCACGGCCACTGATGGTGGAAAGGATGAGGGACAAACAGGAGGCCAGAGACAACCGAGTGGAGACAGCGGATGGTAGAGTACAGGGTAAACAGATTGGATAGGTAGAGAGATACGAGGGCATGAAGAGATTTGAAAACGAGTGAGAGGATCTTGAAATAGGTCCGTTCGGTAGTTGGGAGCCAGTGGAGCCTGGCAAGGACTGGTTTGATGGGGATACAGAGTTTTTTGCAGGTGAGTATCCGGGCAGCAGAGTTTAGAATTAATTGAATTTTGTGTACGGTGGAGGTGGGGAGACCAACGAGGAAGGCATTGGTGTAGTCCAGCCGGGAAGTGACGAAGGTATGGATGAGGGTTTCAGCTGCGTTGGTTAACATTCTGTAGATTGATATGACTCAACTTCTTCATGGTTTCTGCTGTAAATCAGTCCCATTTCTTCTTATTGCACTTAAATTAGTAACCTCAGAGTAATTAGTAATCTTTTTTAACTACAGTAAGACTTGCATAAATCTTATATTTATAAATCGTATAATCAACGAAGTGGTACATTCACGCGAGTTATTCAGTTTCCTACCAAAACCACTTATATTTGCACTACTCGTATTAATCACCTATTAACTCGTAACGATGCTCCCCTACCCTTCATTACTCCTGCACTTACCAACAGCAATGAATTGCAGGAAATGACATCCTAATCCGTCAACGTATGAGTACTTACCGACTGGCTGCATTGAATCGAGCGAAACAAGGTCTTGATCCATCGACATATGCATAGAAGAACTTAATTTCCCGCAATTCAATGTGATCCTAATACTTGACGGTAAGTGCACATGCGGTGACGGGTCAAGACGCATCGAATTGCTGGAAATATACTTTTGACCTGTCACCGAATGAGCACTTACCAGCTGCATTGAATTATGCATGCGCAGTGTAGATTATTGATCAAATCAGATTTTATTCAACTTATAGTTTGTCTGTAACTCAGACTTCACGTAAGTCATATTGAAGTTATGGGAGGGGGTATTGAGAGGGTATAAGGAGGGGTGGAGGTTCATGTAGATTAGTTCTGTAGTCTGCATAATTCAATGTGATTCAACGTAATGTATCTTTGATCAGAGCAACCTGCCTGTACGTGAATTGTGTTAGAGGTGTCACTTTATGTTTAGCCCTCATGCCTGTGCCTCAGGCAGTTGAAAGTATTTGATTTTTTTTGTTCAGAGATCCTCATAGTCAGGGGAGTTTCTTGTCTGCAGTATGATTTGGATAAATAAAGCTGAGTTGGACAAGGAATGTGCACTTTGTTAGAAGCTGCTACCAAAGCTGCTTGCTGCTGTTGCCTCTTTTCATAAATTAACTCGAACAATTTCTCTGTTCGTGGGAACCAGTTAGGTGGAGCTGACTTGCTGATAATACAAGGGAGATAATTTGAAGGCAATTATTACAATATTTCTCATGCACACCTTTAATAAACACAAGCACTCCTAAATGTTTGGTTGAAAAAGCACTTGCCAATATTTTGACGAATTTTGTGGCAATCCATTATGTTAGCTTGGTGGAGCGTGTCGAACTCCATTTGACTGGGAGGCTCCATTTGGTCCCATTCGCTCTGGGACACTACCCTGTGTGAGGTGCGCTATGTAAATGCAAATTGTTGTTGGGTGAACATTGATATGTGAGAACCGGTACCCAATTTTGAAGAGAGGATAGAACAGGGAATTGAGGAGAGTCTTTGGCTCCAGTGGATGAATTAGCACCAGTTTATGTTCTATGGCCAAAAGGTCCTCCTAACTGTAATTTCCATGATACTTTATTGAACAGAGTAGCTGATGTAAAAGCAAAAGTTGCAGCTGTGTGCAAGCTTTGCGTTTTGTGTGTGTGTTCTCATAGCTTCTGGGTAAAGATCTTTGTGGAACTCATGCTGCTGCAGCTCCCAAATTAGACATTAATGCTGTTGGATATTCTGTGAGGGCAGAGAAAGACACAAACTAATACCTTTCTTTCCACAATTGTATGCAAAAATGTTCTTGTGCCATTAAAGGTTTTTATCAAAGCAGCAGGTCATAGAAAATGTTCGGCATCTCAAATAGACTTGTGAAACTGCTGTTATGGTATCTCGTGTCTTGTTTTTTAGTATGGAACCTTCAGACAAGAAGAGGAAAGTAAAATAAAATCCATGGGGCAAGAGGTCAGTCCGCAAGTTTATTTCATGAAGCAAACGATCAGCAACGCCTGTGGCACTGTCGGCCTTATACATGCACTGGCTAATAACCAAGATAAACTGGAATTTGGTAAGTAATTGTATAATTTTACAGAGAAAAGGGTCAAAAAAAACTAATGCCTTTCAACACCCTAAATACAAGTTTTATATTTCAATAAGGTACCTGAATTGCAATCTGCACTGAACTTGTTCAAAAAAAGTATTTCTCTTCTATTCTAAACTTCTGTTCATCTTGAAAGCAGCCTAGTAAAAAATCCCTTCATGTGCATGGGGCAATTTGGATCATGTCAATGATGAATCATTTTCATGCTGTGCCATTCAAGGTCTTGGTCACATTTTCAATAATTCCTTTATTAAATAGGCTGGGTGAATGATGGCAAATATTCTAGCTCATTTCTTTTTCTTTTTGTTAGAAGATACAGAAGGTGACGCTTGTAAAATTATTTACAGAAGAATCTGATCTTGGGAATCTCTAAATACTATATGTGTCTAATTGGGTGTGAAAGTGTATATAAAACAGCTTTAGAAAATTCTGAATGGCTGAGATGTTCCATTAAATAAGCTGTTGAAGGCATTGCGTCTGCCTGCCCGAAGCGTACTGCCTTAGTGCAGCCTCCCTAGCTCTTTAGAAGTAGTGTGAAAATTACCCCAGAGAGCTAGCTGTAAGTGAATACATTTGGTGAAAAGGAACTGGATGAGTATTTTCCATCCGAGTGAATGCTTTCAGTGTCCGGAACTGCTTATTATGATGAGGGCTTCTCAAGCAGAGCAAGGTCACTGTGGAAACTGGATTGTGGGAATTAATTTTGAGGTGCTCTTGGGTCATGTGAACAGTATTCTATTCTATATGCCCAATACAAAAGCTTATTGATTGGTAAATAAAGAAATGCAGCTAAGCCCATTGATAGTAAAAACTGCTTTTACATTACCAGTTTGTTCGCAGAAGCTAATCTGCCCCTTCCAGTAACCTGTAATAAAAGCATCTGAATTTCCTGGTACTGATTTTCTCAGACCCTTTTTTAGAGTTAGATATTTGTCTTCATTTGAATATGGAAAAAAAAGTCAGCATATGATTGAAAGGATGTGTGACATTGTCACGTAAGTGTCACAGCAACATTGGACAGTCAGTGCCACCATTTAAGCATCACAGTGTTTAGGACCCATAATATAAAAGTCTTGGGATGTTGAGGTGTTAGATTGTGACCTTTAGTAGTGACAGAAGTGCTGATTCTGTCCATTGTCCTTTTACCTTTAGCTTGAGCTTGGCACTTGTGCCAAATAAACTTGTGACACAATTTGTAATTCTGGATTTAGCTTGCAGGCTGTTTGATAACCAGTTTAAATAGAACTTATTCTGAAATAGCCAAAGGCTGCTGGTATCTGGCTCCTGGGAACCAAAAGCAATATGGAGTATGGAAATGTCAATGTTAAATGTGTATTGCTAGCCTCTCAGGGTGAGCCAAAAATGTATGATGATTAGCGCACTTTGTGACACTGAGGTCTACCTTGCTTGTGTTTTGTTTGTATGCTTAACAAAGTATAAGAATGAATTATCAACATTAAGATGTGCAGCTCTAAATGATGATACACAATTGCATTTTTTTTGGCATAAATAAAACATAGGTTTTTGTAGTCACATTTATATATGAATATGAACAGTCACATCCAGGAGCAAATATGATAAGGCAAATTATTAACTCTACTGTTATCTCCTTCATTCACTTGATTTGTTCTTCATTGTGGTTAATAAGTGAATAAAGTTGCTGACCCAATATGGGGAAGGGTGTTGTAAGCATTCTCGATGATATAGTCCTGGAGTTTCGAATTCAAGATCCTCACCTACCAGGCCATTCACGGCCTTGCTCCCTCCTACCTCTCCGACCTACTATCCCCCTACTTACCTGCCCGTACCCTCCGTTCCTCTGGCTCCGGTCTGCTCCACATCCCCCGCCCCAACCGCCCTACCATCGGTGGCCGGGCCTTCAGCCTCTCAGCCTCTAGGCTCTGGAACTCTATCCCCAGTGCCTTCGCCGCCTCCTCCCTTTCCTCCTTCAAGGCCGGTCTCAAGACCTTTCTCTTTGACCCTGCCTTCAGCTCCCCTCTCGACTCTCTACCCCCTCCTCGCTCCCTCCCTTCCCTCGGCCTGACCATTTCCCCCTTGCTCGGGTCCTGACCCAACTGTCCAGCGCCTTGGGACATCCTCCCGAGGTGAAAGGCGCTGTATAAATGAAATCTTGTTGTTGTGCAAAATGTATATTTGCATCCAGTAGCTTGGTTGCTCGCTTGTTAATGTTAATTTATTTTCATAGCATTTAGAATGAGTTAACCATTTTCTTTGCATTTTTTAAAAACAGAAGCCAATTCTGCTATAAAACAGTTTCTGGATCGTTCAAGTGACATGACTCCTGAAGAAAAAGCAAAATATCTAGAAAAGGATGAGGTGACTTGCTTGTTTCATATTAAAAATATGTTGGTAGTGCTCAGTTGGTAGTACTTGCCTCTGAGTCAGAAGTTCATGGGTTCAAGTTCCACATTGGGACTTTGAACTCGGAGTCCAGTTTGATACTGCAATACATTGTTGGGGTTGTGCTGCATTGTTGGAGGTGTCTTTCTTCAGACGAGACATGATACCAAGGTCCTGTCTGCCTATTCAGGTGGATGTTAAAGATTCCAAGAACTATTCAAAAAGAGAAGGGAGTTTCTCCCGATGTCCTGACCAACAATCCCTCAAACAAAATTGGTCATTTACTTCATGGCTGTTCGTCGGACATTGCTATGTGCAAATTGGCTTCTGCGATAGCCAACAAAAATACATTCACTGCAACAGCAACTTGCATTGATACAGCATACTTCAAGCAGAGTAGTGTGCGGAGAGAGCTTGAAACTTTACACTATATTTTAGAGTATATCCTGCAAAATGCTTTGAGATGTCCTCCTGATGTGAACAGCACTATATCAACTATAATAATGATGATTATTATTACACATTACCTCTGTTGATGTAAAGTAAACTTTTGTTCAATGGAAAGCTATTATCCCAGTCAATAATTGAAATCTGCAAGCCAGAAGTCCAAAGCCACAGTTTGGACTTGAATGACATGGGCTTCATGATTGAGAACAGTGTTAGAGGAGGAGTGTGCTGCCTCCCATATTACTGGCATATTCCACGTGATGTGATAAAATGTTAAAATGTAGAGTTAAATTGGCCCTGTCGAATCCCTATTTTTATGTGTTAAGTGAAATGTTATGTACTTAATTTTCAGAGTATTCGTGTTACACATGAGTCCAGTGCTCAGGAAGGACAAACCGAGGTATGTTCAGTTTATCTGTAAAGTATGATACATTACCATATAAAGACTGTTTTTCAATTTATATATGTCATTCTACTCTAATCAGTTCTACCATTTATCCTATTAGATTTATCTGTCCACTGCATTTTTCCTCATTAAGATTGCTTGGTATTTATCTAGCTATTTAAGTGCCATTTCATTTCAATCATCAATGGCAGGTTTGACTTCATGGCATATGTGATCCAGCGTCATTTTGGACAAGGTGCACTGAGTTATTCGGGGAGCATAATTGATCTGGGCAGATTTGGATATGTTTTATGATCTTTGCAACTATTATACATAATTTTCTTCCCTATAAACGCTTAACTATGTTGATCAATATTTATATTTTTAATCTATTAATGAATACATTTCAAAGTTGGCTCTCATCAAGGAAAAGGTAGTTAGAAAAAAAAAGTAAAGAAAGTTTAAAAGCGCTAATTAATAGCTCAGTTTGTAAATCTACTGCTCAGTGTAAAAAGGAATCATTCAGACCAAGGCCAGAATTTGGTAATCTGAGATAAGCAGCACAAAGGCACGACAGTTTGCCTTATCACCCCTGAGCTCCTAATCACTATCTATGTCTTCTGCAGGAAAGTGTGTGGGTGTGTGTGACTCTGCTCGCGTGAAGGGTGCTATATAAATGCAGTTGCTGTTGGTAGGAGGAAACAACAAAATTACATTTATAGAGCGCCTTTCACATCAGGAGGACGTCCCAAAGCGCTGAACTTTGGTTCAGGTGTTGGGGCCCGAGTATGGGGGAGGGGTGGTGTAGGGGTGAGGGAAGGCAGAGAGGTGGGAGGGAGACCAAAGGCACGATCGAAGAGAAGGGTCTTGAGACCAGCCTTGAAGGAGGCAAGGGAGGAAGCGAGGCAAAGAGACCGTGGGATGGAGTTCCAGAGTGTGGGGGCAGAGAGGTTTTCTGAAAGCCCGGCCACTAATGATAGGTCGGGTCGGGCGGGAGACATGGAGCAGGCCGGAGCACGCTGAATGGAGGGAGCGGGCAGGTTGGTAGGGAGTCCTCAGGTCAGAGAGGTAGGAGGGGGCAAGGCCATGGATGGCCTTCAAGGTGAGAACTCGATCCTCTGGGGGATGGGGAGCCAGTGGAGTCGGTCGAGGGTGGGAGTGATTGGGTCACAGAGCCTGGTGCGTGAGAGTACACGAACTGCGGAGTTGTCAAGGGAAGAGTTGGGAAGGCCGATGAGGAGGGAGTTCCAGTAATCAAGCTTGAGGTGATGAATGCATGGGTTTCGGCAGCCTGAGGGCTGAGGCAATGGCGGAGTCACAACAACAACAAGATTCCATTTATAGAGCGCCTTTCACGTCAGGAGGACGTCCCAAGGCGCTGTACAGTTGGGTCGGGACCCGAGCAGGGGGGAAATGGTCAGGGTGAGGGGAGGGAAGGGAGGGAGCGAGGAGGGGGTAGAGAGTCGAGAGGGGAGCTGAAGGCACGGTCAAAGAGAAAGGTCTTGAGACCGGCCTTGAAGGAGGAAAGGGAGGAGGCGGCGAAGGCACTGGGGGATGGAGTTCCAAAGCCTAGGGGCTGAGAGGCTGAAGGCCCAGCCACCGATGGTAGGGCGGTTGGGGCGGGGGATGTGGAGCAGACCGGAGCCAGAGGAACGGAGGGTACGGGCAGGTAACTAGGGGGATAGTAGGTCAGAGAGGTAGGAGGGAGCAAGGCCGTGAATGGCCTTGTAGGTGAGGATGAGGATCTTGAATTCGATCCTCTGGGGGATGGGGAGCCAGTGGAGGCGAGCGAGGGTGGGAGTGATGTGGTCCCGAAGCCTGGTGCGGGACAGTACACGAGCTGCAGAGTTCTGAATGACCTGCAGCTTGTGGAGGGAGGTGCCGGGAAGGCCGGCGAGGAGAGAGTTCCCATAGTCCAGCCTTGAGGTGATAAAGGCGTGGACCAGAGTTTCAGCAGTGTGAGGGGTGAGGTAGTGCCGTAGTCTGGCGATATTCTGGAGGTGATGGAAGGCAGTGCCAGTTGTGGTGCGGTTATGAGGGAGAAAGGACAGCTCAGGGTCGAACAGAACCCCGAGGTTCCTGACTGACTTTGAGAGGTGGAGAGTGCAGCCTTGGATGCTGATGGTGTCAGAGCCTGAGGCGGTCTGTGGACCGTTAGGCCAGATTTGAAGCAGGTGTGTTCAGTGGAGGTGGGTGGTGAACCAGGGAGGAGCGAGAGTAGGAGACAGTACGGGAGGTGATGGGGGCAAGAGTATCGAGTGTGGAGGAGAGGGTGTTGTGGGGGAGGGTGAGAGGAGAAGAGGGGTCAGTGAGGTTGGAAGGCCAAAGGAAGAGGAGTTCAGAGTCAGGCAATGTTGTGGAGGTGGTGGTAGGCAGTGCCGGTCATGGCGCGGATGTGGGGATCCAACAAGATACCCAGGTTCTTGACTGGCTTAGTGAGGTTGAGTGTGCAGACGTGGAGGCTGATGCTGCCAGCGCCTGAGGTGCGGAAGTGCTGGCGCGAGCCAATCAGGAAGGCCTCGGTCTTGCTGACGTTGAGTTGGAGAAAGTTGGTCCTCGTCCTGGACTTAATGTCGGACAGGCAGTCGGTCAAGGCCTCAGTAGTCCTGGAATTCAGGGTGGAGGCAGAGAGATAGAATCATCCGCATACATGTGGAAATTTACCCCATGTCTGCGGATGGCGTCACCAAGGGGGAGCATGTAGAGGGTGAAGAGGAGGTGACCAAGGCAGAGCCCTGAGGAACACCGCACGAGACAGTGCAGGGGCTGGAGGAGAAGCTGTTTGCCGCAACGAAGTGGAGGCAATGTGAAAGGTAGGTCCTGAACCAGTCAAGGACAGAACCTTGAAGGTTTTGATGGGAGGAGAGGCAGTGGAGGAGGATTGAGTGGTCCACGGTGTCAAAGGCGGCGGAGAGGTCGAGGAGGCAGAGGGAGCCCTGGTCACACATGGTCAGGATGTTGTTTGTGACCTTGACCAGAGCAGTTTCTGTGCTTTGTGCAGCACGGAAACCCGATTGGAGGGGTTTATAGAGGGAGTGAAAGGAGGTAAGAGCGAAGCTGGGAGGCAATGGCTCTCTCAAGGACCTTGGATAGGGAGGGGAGATTTGAGATGGGCTGGTAGCTAGATAGCTGTGATGGGTCGAGGGAAGGTTTCATCAAGGTAGGGGTGACAGTGGCTGTTTTGAGGGGGAAGATGACAGGGAGAGGTTAATGGTGTCGGCGAGTAGTGGGGCAAGGAGGTGGAGCTGTGATTTAAGGAGAGGGGTAGGGATGGGGTCGAGGGAGCAGGTGGTGGACTTCATGAAGGTTACTGTGTTGAAGACAGAGGAGGGGGTGACAAGTTCAAAGGTGTGGAAGGAGGGATGGGTAATTGTCGGATAGGTAATTGTGTGGGGTGGGGGTAGGGAGGGGTTGGAAGTAGGGAGGGCAGTGGCAGCTGAGAAAATTCCCTCGATTTTGGACTCTAGGAAGTCCAGCATTTTCTCGCAGTGAGAGTCAGAGAAAAGTATCTGCGAGGCGTGTCGGGGAGGGCGGAGGAACCGGTTAGGAGTGGAGAACAGGAGCCTGGGATTGCCTTTCGCCTCCAGGATTAACCTATAATAGAAGGATGATTTGGCTGAGGCGAGAGCAGAGCGGTAGTTCTTAATGAGGTCCAGCCAGATGTGGAGGTGGACCGTTAGGCCGGATTTGAGCCAAGTGCATTCGGCAGCCCGCACCTGGCCCTTAAGCAAGCGGAGTGGCTGGTGAACCAGGTTCACCAGCCAATAATCATGCCTATATGTGCTTTCAGCAGAGGTGTATATTTTTAAGTTTTTGTATTGGACCATCATAAGACTACACTATCACATGCAATCTCGACCATTGGTGGGATAGAGTGGGAGCCCTAGCAAGATGGTAGATGTTATCCAACATGAAAGATTCTTTACAGGTACAAGTAGTTATTGTTGTTGAGAGAATAAACAGTGAAATGTTATTTCTGTTGCTGTTGAATTTGTATCGAGGAAGTATAAGCAACAACTTGAATTTAGATAGCACCCTTCACTCAGGGTAGTGGCTCTGAACGCATTAAGCATATACAATAACATATGCACAATGCAAAGATAACCACAAAAACAACTTGCGTCTATATAGCGCTCTTCACACAGGATGGCATCTTAGAGCACTGAACTACATAGTAACTGTAAATATTTAACTGTTAAGGATGCAGAGTTAAGAGTTCATTAGCATATTGTCCTATGCAAATAAGGCAATGTTATTACTTGATTTGAATATCAAAGTAATATGGGCTTTGTTTCCTATGAGATCGAATAAATTAAACTCTGTTGCTTGCTGGTATCTAATGAAATGATAATATGGGATGATTTCAATAATATTTTCATGATATATGGTCTACTTCTCATTTTTCAACTATTTTGGCCCATCATCACTGGCCAAGCTTTCAGCCTTTATGCCCCATTGTCTTGAACTTTCTCCCTACATCCCTTGGTCTCAACCCTTCACTCTCTCTTCAAAGAAAAATGTATCTCTTTGATCGCATCTTTGGTCAACGTCTTCAAATTACTCCTCACACTCTTTGGAAAAGATTTTTGTTCTATCCAGTATGATGTTAACTTGTAGATTGATTATGTTCATAACATCTGTTCACAATATAAATTGGGATTATGATGACTAGTTTTCTGTGATAAAATTTCTTTTTCAGACACCAAGCTTAGATGAGAAAGTAGACTTACATTTTATAACATTTGTAAACATTGATGGACACCTGTATGAACTAGGTAAGTGAATGATTAATAAATGGATGCTAGGTAAAATACTATAATGTTGCTTTATTTGCCAATCTAATTTAACCAAAACGGGTGTCAGCAGATAGCAATGTTGTGGGGCATGAGACATTGCAGTGGAAGCCAGAATCAGCCCATTCTCAGCATGCTGTTTGTAAGAATAATAAAAATCCTTGCATTTGATATAGTGCCTTATCACATCTTCGAGCCTTTCTAAGTGCTTTGCAGAATATACTGTAAAGTGAATTGACCGTATATGTGGACAAAATGCAGCAGCCAATCCCGCACAGAGGTCTCCCACAAACAGTCGTGGATTGAGTGACCAATTTATTATTTTTTTGAAGGAATTATTACCCCAGGGAAAAGTGATCCGCCAATCGACTAACAAGCAGATTCCTACTTACTGTTAAGTAAGCAGAGACATAAACAGAGATGTGTGGAGTCAGGAAACTTGCCCAACGTTTCGCCCTGACGGGAATCAAACCCAGGTCTCTCACTTGCGAGGCCAGTGCTCTAACCATTGAGCTACAGGACTCCATAACCCAATTGGAGGGGGTGGGGGGACTGCTTCCCTGGGTGAGATCAACCAGGTGATCCTTAACCTTCGATTCAGTGGGTCAGTTTCACTAGCCATTGAGTTTACCGACTAACCATTTTTAACATTCTGTCATTGTACATTCTGGAGTCCATACATAGTCTTTGACAGCCTTGATTTGAGGAGTTTCCAAATGGTAACTGATGTCTGGTTAAATGTTCTTTCAGAATTGTATAATAATGAAAAAGCCTAAATATTTTATGTATATGGAAATCTTCTCAACTTTACCAGCGATTTGAAAGCACACTTTTTTTATTTTCTAAAGAGTTAGGGATTATTATTATTCTCAAGGTATTTTGCCTGGATTATCTTCCTGCATGTTGGAAATGAGACAGTTAAATCTCTCCCAGATAGACCACTTTCTAAGTGTCTTTCTCTAAAGATTAAGCAATTGGAGAGGCACAAGCACATATATCTTTTAATTTTTTTTGTCAGTAAAATATTCCAGTCTAAACAAGACTTGAGAAAGACCAAAACACTTTTTGTGTGACCTCTTGATAAGGCGTTACTTTTTCATAGATGAATGACTCTACTGTTTTTCCCCTGTCCACGTGGTATGCTAAATGAGAAAATGAACAGTCCCAGACTAATTCTTTTGTAATAGTGAGTGAATGCCAAGTGACTAATATTTGTGGTGTTTATTAAATGATATGATAGATAATCACACCATCATAAGGCCGTCTGTGATTACCTGATCTGGGAGGTGGCTCCACTGCAAAGACTGCATTTTTTTATTCTGTGGTTGATTTAGCAGCTTGTATTCATGTGTCGGTTAATATGACTTGTACTGTCCTTGGAATGACATCCATTTTTATACGAAAAATTATTCCAAATGTTTTGTGTACCATCTCTTGAGTTTCCGTCTTGGGATGTCCTCCTGATGTGAAAGGCGCTATACAAATGTAATTTTGTATTCTATTGCCTCCAATATGTATTCTTCTGCCATTGATCAGGTTTTGTTTCAGTGTCCGTTGATAGCAATTTTGCCCCTGCTAGAAGGTCATGGATTCAAGGCTTATGTCAGAGCTCATTGTCTAGACTGACACACCAGCACAATGTTGAGAGGGCCGCTGCATTATCAGATAAGATGTTAAACTGATGTCTCGTCTGCCTGTTCTGGTGGATATTAAAGATTCCATGGCACCATTTGAAAAGAGAAGGGACAGTTTTTTCTCCAGTGTTCTGGCCAACAATCCCCCAGATAGAGAAAACAAAATGGACATTCACTTCATGATTCTCGCAGCAATGCATTGGGAGTGTCCCACTTCATGTGAGACACTACGATGTACAAAGTTTGTCTGTTTGCCTACACTGTCACTTCACCTTACTTTGAGATGTTTTGACCTGAAAAGGTGCTATACCAAACGCAAGGATTATTCTATATCTTTATGTGATGGCGTCTCTTATTCTGTTCGTCAACAGATTGAAACCCATTTCTGTGAGTCCAGAGGCTTAATATTCAAGTTTTGTGCTACCCAAAACAACTCTTGCTTCTTTTACTATTCTTTTTGGGTTGCAGAGACTTGACTATTTTTGTTCCCTGCTGTACGTTTCTTACAAATGCACTCATTTCTGAAGGTTAGATTTCTGAATTCAACCTCGAGTTATCTACTCCCTCTGCTCAGTATGTTCCTTGTCTTCTGCCCGGCCTGCTCCACCTTCTGCAGTCGTGTCTTCAACTTTTCTGCCCCACCTTTACGAACTTCATCTCACAGTCCCTTTGTAACACTCCCTCACTCCTTCAAGGCCTGTCTCAAGACCTGACACCTGGCTAAACAAGAGAATGGGGGATAAAACATCATAAAATTCTAATGTACAGTTTCAATAAGAAATTAGCATGATCCAGTGATTAACATTCTCAACAGTCAAAACATACACATTAATGTGGATAAACATCCTCTTTGAAACTTTGTTTTTAGAGTGCAGGTGAAACCACAAATATTGTTGCTCAGAACTAGATATAGCAGGATCTTCTGATGTATAGTATATATTAGAGCCTTCTGTAACTGTTGTACCTTTGAGCTGACTTGCTTTATAGCTTTCTGAACTCCATTATGTAGTTCAATTTTATAAGATTTTGTTTTATCATCCGTTTTGTCATTCCATTCTTAATGTCCATGGGACATGTGTCCAAGTTGATTTCTGCTGTTTATCAAGAGGTTCATAGGAAGTTGCTGACACTTGCTATCCATCTTAAAAGGCTTAATCTTTGCTTGTCAGATGTCTAGTTAGTCACTGTTCTCCTTGGGGAGGTAAGTGGGATCCCATGGAACTAAACTGGCTCCAGGGTGATGAGTTCTGCACTGTCATGTCAAAATTGACTCTGGTGGTCTCGGTTGTCCAGTTTGCAGACTGGCTCTTTGGCAGGATTTGAAGCTTCTGAGTGGGAAGAATCTCTGGCCTCAGTAAATTGTCTGCCCCTCCAAGGTTTGCTTTGCAGTCGGAGCCGCAAAGCCCTAATAGGTAGGGTTGTTCTATCTGCCTAACAAGCGGAAAGCTTGAGTAATCACAATAGCAAGCTATGCAGTTTTAGCTAGTTGAACTCCAGTACCTTGTGGTCTCTAAGCTTTGGTTCTCGCCAACCCGCACCTAATACATTCTGGAATTAGGTAAGCATGGTGTAGAGGAACCAAGGAAATAGTGTGCATTCCATTCAGCAAGCACAGGTTTGAGCCCTCAGTAGGGTGATGCAAGAAATATCAGAGATGCATCCTTTTCAATATTAATATATTAATTTTGTTTGTATTTTAATGCATTGTAATTGTTGTTTCTTCCTCTCCAGATGGACGTAAACCATTCCCAATAAATCATGGACAAACAAGTACTGATACGTTCTTAGAGGTAAGTGATACAGAGTCTAATAAACATTATTTTTGGGAGTAATTACATGAAAAACCTGCATAATAAAATACATATTGTAACATTAACATTCTTGCAACTCTTAAAATATTTATTACTTATTTAATACTGCTATCTTTAACCATAAACCTTAATATTTCTACTTCCCAATTAGGTACCCATCATTCTTAAACCTTTATTAAATTATAATAATCCTTGGATTTGATATGTAATATGATAACTTGATGTTTTATCTTCCAGGACGCAGTAGAAATTTGCAAGAAGTTTATGGAACGTGATCCTGGCGAGTTGCGGTTTACGGTGGTAGCACTCTCCAAGGCATAAGCTGTTGCAATTTGACGGAAAAGGAGCTGTTGAACTAAATATGGATTGACATTTTACTTGTATTGCCATACTCCAATGTCAGAGCTTTTGATATTTTCAATTTGATTTCATTCACATTAAAACCCGTCTAGAATATGTCCACTATCTTTAGAATTTAAAAACAACAAAGTGTCAATTGCTATTTTGTCTTAACTTTAAAACTGCATTCCCCAAATTTTGTTGATAATCCATATCAGTCTATGTATCCTGTGACAACCGGAGAGCAGGAGAAATTCATTTGGAAGGGATAAAGCATAGAAGGCTCTTGCTGAGTTCACATTCACACCTTCCAATCACTAACTGGGGAAGAAATGGGCTTTTCACATAGCTGGAAAGCTCTGTGTGCAAGTAAATCATGCTCCTTGGGTTATAAATATGTTCAATAAATTTACAAAATTGTTTGTGCTGCTTCTTTTTATTGAACTTTTCCATGATGTCCACATGAATGAAAATCTTGCATTAAATTGCACAGTACTATTTAGTCAGATTGTACACACAACATCCTTGACACTGATCTTTTACACAGGTTGATTAGCAGGGATCAGATGTTTTGCCTCAAAACAAGGCAGGGAAAATTTCTAATTGATGAAATTATTTGATTAAATTAAATAAAAATCTTACTTGAGTCTTAAAAGTGTTCTTTTGATTTAAGGTGCTGAGTTTTGTTAGTGCAGGTGTTCACTGTCATGGTTGCACACTTCAACTCACCAAGCCAGTCAGGTAACTAGGTATCTTAGTTCGACCCTCAACTGTCCTTTCTTCCCCACGTCCAAGCCATGACCCGCTCTGCCTTTCCTCACCTCTAACATCACCCGACTCCACCACTATCTTACCCCTCAGGCCGCTGAAACTCTTGTTCATGCCTTCATCACCTCCAGGCTCGACTTGTCGGCCTTCCCAACTCCTCCCTCCACAGGCTGCAGATAATCCAGAACTCTGCAACCTGTGTCCTCTCCCGCACCAAACTCTGTGACCCCATCTTACTCACTATCGCCCAACTCCATTGGCTTCCTATCCTTCAGAGGATCCAGTTCAAGATCCTGGTCCTCACCTACAAAGCCCTCCATGGCCTCGTCCACCCTTCCTCTGACCTCCTAACCCCCTACCAACCCACCCGCTCACTCCGCTCAGCCGGCTCTGGCCTGCTCCACGTTCCCCGACCCACCCGACCCACCATTGGCGGGAGAGCCTTCAGCCATTCTGCCCCCAACCTCTGGAATTCCATCCCCCAGTCACTCCGTCTCGCCTCCTCAGCCTCCTTCAAGTCCTACATCAAGACCCTCTTCGACCATGATACACTTCCAGTTACTATTTGGGACTTCTGTTTGCAATTGCTGCATATTATACCTCTATATTCCAAATGGGTATTTTGGAGAGCCTTGTAACTAAAGTCGGAAGTTTTTATTTACAGACGATGGCAAACAGCTGTAATGGGCTGTAAAGTGCCAGAGAATGCAGGGTTTTAGACTCAATTTAAGGAACTACTTAATGCTATAATGAAAAGACGGTAGGGTTGGTGTTCTCGTAAAATGAGTTCAAATAAGATAAATACCTACTACTTTTGACCTCCTGTGATCCTGTGACATGTTTTGTCAGTGATCTCCTATGATGAAAGAGACTGAATACAGACCTGAGTAAAATGCTCAAGACCCTTATAGTTCCAGTCCTGTTGGGGCATGGGAATACAGTTTGGAATGTAACCAGCCAGGATTGAGTAATGAATACTATAATTAAATATCCAGGTGCTTTCACTCAATTACCTATGGAGACCGGGAAAAAATCTCAAATCTTGCAATTTTTATCTATGGATATTGTTTTTCAGGAAATGTGAATCAATGGGAAGATGCTCGGTGGATTCAATGGACTGAAAGTGCTTTTCTCATTGTCTTGTGCCTTTAAAAGTTATTTGTTTATGCGTATGCTTTTAAACCTTAATTTTACAACAGTCATTGCAAGAAAATTGTGTTTTTCTAGGTGTTCTGAAAGTCTGGGAAAATAGTCTTCTTTGTTTCAAAGGAGTAATAACATAAATAGACACAAATTATAGTAATTTAAAATAATTGTATCTTACAATTCCATAAACAACAGTTGTGCGTGTTCTGTTCTGATTCTTTTGGCAAGTTTTCTTTAATAATGAATCTTGTAAAGGTTGCTGTTTTCTACAGTTAGTTTTCATAACATGCTTCTTATTAAAAAAAAAGCTACAATTCACAGTACGTACTTTGTTTCCTTCAATGTTGTAAATTCTATTTTTAAAGTATGAATGAACAGGCTGTTAACCCTTTTATATTTAGAAAACTTCAAGAATGCTATCACACAATTCCACCAATACAATTAAAATGCTTCCCAGTATCAAAACATTTTTAAAATTATTTTTACAACCTGTTTGATAACAATTTATTACAAAGTATAACTTTTGTTATTAGCTGCTTAAAACAAGATATACATTAGTTCATACTTAAAGTATTTGATGTGCTCAGTAACTAGATTAAGGTTAGTGTTGTACGAGGAATTCTCAGAAAAACAGTTTGGGAGGAAAGGCAAAATAGCTTAATCATGAATCTAAATTGACTAATAATGGTCACAATCTAGGTTTCACACCAAAAAAATGCAAGAGGTGGTAGATCTGGTAATATAATGTAAGTGCACTATCAGACATATGGACATTTCTTTTAGATTCACTGACAAAAATAAAAAGGTTTATACAGTGGTATGAGAGTGTATTTTTATCACAAATTTATTTGGAAAGTTAATATTTATTCTGAAATTTGGCATCGCTGTTAATATTGGTGCTGCCGTATGTCTCCTTCCATGCCTTAATCTATATAATAATAATAATCCTTGCATTTGATGTAGCGCTTTTCACATCTAGACGTCTTGCATTATATCAACACTTCATCAACATTACCAGAAATACATTTTAGGAGGCCTGTTTGTAACTAATGCAACTGGTTGCTACATCACAAATGGATTCCATTAGGTGTAGTATGGTGGTGTAGAGCCTCAACAACAACTTGCATTTATATTGTGCCCTTCACAGGTATAGTGCCTTTCACTTTGAGTGGATGTCTCAAAGGGTACTATGGGTTTGTGAAGTTTCTCCTTAATTCACTGAAACCCTAGTCTCAGCTAATCGTTTTTTGTAATTAATGATACATCTACCTTCTGCGTATGATGGATAGAGTTTTGCACAGTGACATTGTCTGGGAAAATATTTATTAGAAGAGCAAGTATGAAGCCAGTGGGAGTAAATTTGAATGTTATTTGAATATTGAGGTGTAACTGCATGCACCAAATGTATTCTTTGATTAAATATGGCAGTATTAAATTATAATAACTTATTCTGGTCCTGCCATTGTGGCAGACTAACAGTTCAGACACATCTGATATTAAAGGATGGAATGGAATAGCTAATTCTCATAATGTCTCTATCTTTTGGGTTTGGACTGCATTGATTCGAACCAATATTGAAAGTGGATTTTCAATGCAGCCTACAAAGCAAGGCTACAATACTCCATGAATGTGAATATAGCCTTTGAGAACACTGATGTTGACAACAGTACTGAATTGAATTCAAATATTTCAGATTCCCAGTTTTTTAGCTATTTTCATCACTTGATGGTCTCAGCAATGATTGTATATTGTATATGAGGACGTTGGGAGAGAGAGGATGTCTAATATTTTGTACATGTGGATTCCTGTAGCTCAGTGGTTAGAGCACTCGCTTTGCAAGTGAGAGACCTGAGTTCAATTCCAGGCAGGGCGAAACCTTGGGCAAGTTTCCTTACTCCACACGCCTAATAATAATCCCTCCAAAACCCCCCAAAAAACAATAATAAAAAAATTGGTCATTTTCAATCTACAACTGTTTGTGGGACATTGCTGTGCGCAATTGGCTGCTGCGTTTGCCCACAAATATACAGTCAATTCACTTTACAGTGTGCTCTGTGAAGCGCTTTGGGACGTCCTCCTGACGTGAAAAGCGCTATATCAAATGCAAGGATTATTATTATTATTATTATTATTACATTTTCTTCAGTGTCCCACCTTGCTCAGGAACCAGACTACTGAGATGCCACAGAAGATCGAGTTAATTCTGACATCTGTTGTCAAGCATTGCAGTACACCTCAAAGGATACCTCACTTAACCAGCCCTCCCCCTCCCCAAGGAGGATAGCACCAGTTGGTCCTTTCACATTGGGGAAGCTCAGGTTGGAGCTCAAAGATAAAAGCTCTAAAATAAATGAATGAACCGAGTTTTGGGACATTGTCCCAACATCCAGTGCTTTGGGAAGTCCTCCTGACTTGAAAAGTGTTATTCAAATGTAACTTCTTGTTGAGTTTGGCATTTATTGTGTTCTTCCCACTGAAAAAAAATCCCATGCAAGCAGTATACATAAAGTCTGTGCAGCAGTATAATTTACTGCTTTCTCCCATTGTCATTAATGGATGAACAACAATTGGGTGTGGTACAATGTTGCACAAGGGATCCCTTTACATTAACCGCAGCTTACACCAAGTCAGTGATCTGCCAGGGAGATTGCTGTGTTTTGTACTGCATAGAAGTGCTGATAGAGTACTCACAACGAAACTGCATCAATGAAAAATAAGGATACCAGTAAACACGTCAGTCCTAATACTATCGAAGATCATTGGTAAATGATTACACTGTACTTCAGAACTTAAGAAAAGCAAATAATAAATTGGTAAAATGGTCTTCATATTGATGACCTCCTCCCTGGAGATTGGAGGGGTTATTGTTGCAGTTCAATTGCAAAAAAAGTGGAGTCCTGTAGCTCAGTGGTTAGAGCACTCGCTTTGCAAGTGAGAGACCTGAGTTCAATTCCAGGCAGGGCGAAACCTTGGGCAAGTTTCCTTACTCCACACGCCTAATAATAATCCCTCCAAAAAAAACAAAAAACAATAATAAAATTGGTCATTTTCAATCTACGACTGTTTGTGGGACATTGCTGTGCGCAATTGGCTGCCGCGTTCGCCCACAAATATACAGTCAATTCACTTTACAGTGTGTTCTGTGAAGCGCTTTGGGACGTCCTCCCGACGTGAAAAGCGCTATATCAAATGCAAGGATTAAAAATTATTATTAAAAAAACGGAGCTGGAGAATTCCACTCACTGACATGCTTGGGGCGAGGTATTCCAGCCTTAGTGATACAGCATTCACCACCAACACTGATTTCCCCAGTGGTGGGCAGCAGATATGTGCGGATAGTAAATGTGATCTAACTCCAGATACAAACGTCCCTTCACTAATAAAATGAAGATTTTTTTTGTTATAATGCGGGAAGAGCAAATGGTGCATTTTTATCTTCCCGAAGCCCTGTAACCCCTTATTTCAGGAGCTGCTTCGAAACATCTCCTGCACTGAAGATATCCTGACGCCAATCGCATAGAGAAAGCATCAAGTAAGTGGTGTTTGTCTGAACGTTTTAATAACCGTTCCACTTACTATGAACAAATACATCAACAGTTTCTTTTTGGATTAGTTGACTCTACTTAAAGCTGAATCAACTTTAGTGTGAGCACTCCCTCGGTGGCCCCAATCTCACCATTGCATGTCTCGTATCCACATTCTCTCGGTGGGGGTGGGAGGAAGTTACACAACGAAATACCTACAATGATTACCTCCCTCTACTGGATACATGTGCCCTGTGCTCAAATACTGTACAAGTGGAGGAGATCGCAAGTGGAGTGTTTCTTTAAGGGGAGGGGAGAGAGAGGGAGGAGGAGGGGATTGACAGAGCTGGTGAGGAGGCTCAGGTGAGGATTGAGTGAGTCGCTGCAGGTGAGGACAAGTCTTGGGAGGCAGAGTGGGGTTGGAGAGGGGGGGGGAGGGAGAGAAGCGACTGAACCCACAACAGGCACACACTGACTGAAGGTGTGGGGAGGTAAAAGGCTGCAGTAACAGCACTGCTTTAGTCGTTTGAAAGGGGCGCTGCTTTCATTGCAATATGTTAGCAAGTCAGTAAAAGAAAGAAAGAAAGAAAGAAAGAAAGAGTGGCTCCTTCTTGAAAGTTTTTTTTTCTTGTAGTTCAGGGAAACTGGTGGCCAGAAGTTGCAGAGGAGAAGAGTTTGATGGCTGTTAGTGTCAGGTGAACATCAAGGGGGAAGGGTGGCTGTTCTCTTGCAGCAGCAGCTTTGTTTTTGAGCCCAGACTGAAGGAAGAGGGGACTTTTAGGTGAAGGAATTCTGCTGCGAATAGGCGTAACTGTCCATCACTCAGGAAACAGTTACAGTCCGTGTGACTTTAATTGCATAAATTACACTTTAATATGTGAAAAAAAAACCCAGAGCCTTGTGGCTGGGAGTCAGTCGGCCGCTGCACCAAGTGAGCTGACAGTCATCCATCTGCCATTTAGTTTGCTCCCGACTTTAAGCTCCACACGATTTGCTGCTGAACCCTCGAAGGTCAGAAGTTACTTGTTACTTGTTGTTGTGTTTATCCACACAGCGATGGAGTGGAAGGAGCAGCGCGATTCTGATCACACTTTGGCATTTGCTGAGGCTCAGCGATGGTTGGAGGTGAGTCGATGTGTCTCAAACTCTGGTTTGCTCTCCAAAGTTTGCAAACAATTTCGTTTCGCATAAATGTTATTTTAAAGTGTGGCAAGACACTTGCAAAGATTGTTTTCGGTAAATAACATGTGGTTGATTTTAAAAACATGTAGACCGAACGGTGCAAATAAACTTTCCCCACACAAAGTTTAGCTGCTGTGCTGAAATACATTGTGTTGTGTTTCAGTTAAACAAGATTAGGCATTGGATAGTATGGTTGTGGATTTTGCATTTATTTTCAGAAAATGGCAACCTAAAGTTTACATGATTGGAAACGTTTCATCATTATTGATTTTGCATTCAGGAAATGATTGATTGGAATGGAAGATTGCCCCCACACACAGCATTAGCTTTTCCTGAAAGTATAATAATAATACTAATCCTTGCATTTGATATAGCGCTTTTCACGTCGGGAGGACGTCCCAAAGCGCTTCACAGACACACTGTAAAGTGAATTGACTGTATATTTGTGGGCGAACGCGGCAGCCAATTGCGCACAGCAATGTCCCACAAACAATCGTAGATTGAAAATGACCAATTTATTATTGTTTTGTTTTGGAGGGATTATTATTATTAGGCGTGTGGAGTAAGGAAACTTTCCCAAGGTTTCGCCCTCTGCCTGGAATTGAACTCAGGTCTCTCGTGCTCTAACCACTGAGCTACAGGACTCCTAAGCTACAGTATGTCTATCTCATTCATTTTGGGATTAGATTTTTGACTGATAGGAGCAGTTTAGTGACAATTTACTCCTCTGTCTCTCCACCCCCCACCCCCCCCCCCCCAACACACACAAGAAAATTCCATTCAAAATTGGTGTAGAATATTTTGTAAAGTTATACTGTTTTAGTTTTCAAAGTGTGATTTGAAGGCAGTAGTGCTACATATGTAGCTCGAAATGTGTACATGTGTTACATATGTACACACATAGAAAAACATTGGGAACTGTACTGTACAGAACGTTGTCAGCATTTGAAAGACGTGGTCTGGTTATGTTTATGGGGTTTCTAATTGCCCACATGATGTGTTCCCACTCTTGGTGGTAAGGTTGTGCCTTGAGAGGATGGTTTGCAGAAAAGCTAGTACTTTGACTTTGGTTTAGGTTCAGGTTAATTTTGTCTGATGATCTCATCCCCTGATTTTTGTGACAAATCATCTTCTTAAGACAGCCCATCAAAAGTAGGAAGTCACCAAATAGGGAATAATTAGAAATAACCCAATATGTTAATTGCTACACAGAGTGAGGGGCACAATGTAAATGCAAGTTATTGATAACCAACTCTTATTTCAGATGCAGTTTAAAAAATACTGGAAATGTGCCTTATTTTGGTATTTGTTTTGAATTGCAGAATTAAGCAACCTGAACAAAATGAAGTAGCCTCAGTAATCTAATATGCTCAATAATTTTATACCAGATCACATTCATCAGATGCTAGTTTTACTCTGTTGACACCTGTTATTTGTTATTGACAACATTTAGTCTTTGCTTTGAAGTATGCAATCGAAGCGGCATGGGCTCAATACTATTCATTTCTGAACTTAATTTCCAATTGTGTAATTTGGGGTTTTGTTTGTGGGGGGGTGGGGAGGATGCGGTGGGTCTTATGTAATTATTCAGGAGCTTGAGGGTGGACTGACAAGAAACTGTTATTGACATTATTGGTGGTTGTATTTACTCATTGTGTCTTTTTTGTTTTGTAACCTGCTTTAGTAATGGATTTTGTTTCTTACAATATGTGATCAGACAAATTTGTTTACTTGGTGGGGAGAAACTGTTTTACACTATAAAGGGTGTATCTATAGCTGTCTTAGAGGAGTTCCTTTAGACATTGGAATTGGTGGGGAAGTGGGAGGTGTTTAATGTGGTTTATCTTGCAATGTGTCAAATGTTGTAAATTAGATTATTTCAAAGAGCAAGTTGTTTGGTATTCAGTGTTAGAATTTATCTTTTGTGTTATCTTGTTTCAAATGCTGGGGAGGCCTAATGCTAATTTGGCCATTGGAAAGTGTCTTTGATGCCTTAGAAAGCTGGAATGTGGTATGTGTGTCAAAAGCCAGTATGAACTGAATGTTTGTCCTATTTTGGGGACTTAAAATGAGCACAGTAAAGTGAAGTCTTCTATTCTGAAGGCCAAGGGAACTCTGTGATTTGGTGTTTCACCAAGAGTAATTTGTTTTATCTTCAGGGAAAGGAACTCCCATATTGATTGGGAATAAATTTATAAATGTTTTAATTTTTAAAAAAGAAATGAGAAAGTCAATAATGGCATTAAATCTTTAATAATTGTGTCTTAATATAGTTGCCAGATACAAGTACATTAACACAATCTATTTGACCATGCTACAACATTCATTCACCTTGTGGAAGAATGTGGGGAGTACATGCACTACCTGGTTAGTGTAAATATTGTGCACTATGTAACAGGTCTCCTGTAAACTAATTAATTCCCTTCCATCTAGTGACTCGTAAATAATGACTGGTTCCCATGACTATGTATTACTCAACACAGTATCTGGAGTTTACTGATATCCAATGAAAAATCTTCCCAATGTCTTTGGAGTGATGATTGTATTTAAACTGGTTGCTGAAGAGAGAAAGAAAACAAATTTGTTTACGGTCCAAGGACCTGCAGCTTTTTTTGGAAAACTGATGACAGATCTGTGTTTGGAAAATAGGAATGTTATCCTTATGAATGTAAAGGAACAGTAAAAAAACGAATACGACTAAAAACATTTTAAAAATATTTAAAAAAATGTTTAGTTAGAGGTGCAATATGTTCAATATGTGCAGTTGGAATTGAAACAAACTTGTTTTCTTATGTGAGCAGACCTTCCAAGTAGTGAGCAGCATAGGTCTGTGTGTGAACTGCCTGGTCTACACCAATGTGTGTGTGTGTGTAGTCTCTCTATTTCAAATCGCTGCCCAATGAAAATATTATGATTGGATTTCATTCCAGTTGCAGCCACACGCACATTACACTTTTGTCTAATTTCCTGTGAACATATAACATTTTGGTGTTCAAGTGCAATAATACAATATAATAGCCTATTTTGTGCATACCCACCCAAGGGCCCCATCTTGTAATATGTAATTTCAGTGATGTATTATTTGACAAATCAGTGGTGGGGTAGCCTTAGTTAATATTGAAGTACAATTGTATTTTCAAATCTTTTATAGCATTTATTTTCAAACTACAAGAGCAATTTCTTCGGTTCAGAAACCTTGTGGCATTTCTTTGCTGATGAAAGTGATATTATTGCTTATGTGCGATGCAGTGTTCTGTTCAGATTTCACATGTTGGTTTCTTAGTAAAATCGGCTGCTTCAAAGAATAGTAAATCGAACCACCAGACATTTTTAATTATTTTGGAAACAGTTCATTCCTTTTAATAACGTGGATATGGTTTTTATTTTTTTAGAATGTGTTCCATGAAGAATAGGGCTGTTTGAGCATTACTAGAATCTGGCCTCTGAGTTAGATTTCCTTGACGGCTAGATTTGGCTGATAAAGTTCCTTGGGTAAGAGATGAGCACTTATGTGGCACTATTAGGTAATGCAGGTTATAAATTAGAGTAGACAGTTTTGTGTCCTGAGTTGGAAGCAAGTGGAAAGGTGTTTACTGGCTGGTATGGAACTCTACACTGTATAGAAGACCCCTTACATTTCATTTTGTCTTGAAGACATGATAAGGCGCTATATCAAATGCAAGGATTATTATTATTTCATGCCCTATGCTTGGTTAGTTCATCATTGAGACAGTGGTAAGACTACTATTATTGCTTCAGAAATCTGTTCTGGATTCCTTTTCTATTCTCCGTTATGTGCCTTCTACTGGAAAAGTATGTTTTCCCTTCTAAATACAAGATTTGTTTCAGCTAGGCACAGTAGACAAGTATGCAAAGAATAGAGGCTATAATGGTTGCTGGCACATGTTCAATGTTAAATTTGTGTTTAGAAAACTTCGTCAATAATAGAAATTTTGCAAGACTTCTTTTTAAATCAAGCAATTGTAATTTCAGAATCAACAGTACAATATAAAATCTCTCAAAATAAATCTCAGACTTTTGATAATGCGGTTCATTTTTAGAGCCTTTGGTGGAGAAATGGATCCACAGTCCCTTGAGCCTCTTACTGAATTTTATATGATTGCTATGGTTCTTTCCCTCAGTGTAGTTTGTAGTTTTACATGTTCCAATTGAAATGCTTGTTCTACCCATATGCCCTGTGGTAAGGTGCCTGGCTTCTGCTTTACTGTATGAATGCATGGAATTGCTGAAAGTAAGAACACTGTGGAATGCAAGCATTGAACACTACACTGCCTCTCCAGAATCTTGAAGCTTCAACATGCAGCAGCACTTCACTTTGGCAACATTTTTGGCCTATCCGTCCTTTCAGCCAAAACACACTCATTGCTTTGACACGTTGGTTGAAATAATCACTCACTTCAGTGGACTTTGTTTGATCCATCTTGTTTATAAAGCAATGAAGTGTTGAACTGGTAATTAAAAGTTGGGCGTCTTCAAAAAAAGATGCGTTTGAGTTATAAGTCTTGCTTTAGGAATGGTCTTGAGGTGCAAAAAGAGTTAACGATTGCTATTCTAATCTCCCATAGGTGTGCTTTTCCCTATAGAAGTGTAGGACTGCATGTAGCATGAATTTCTTAATCTGAACCAGAGAAAGTGTTTTCAGTGAAGAAATGGTGTTTCTCTCTTCCCCCTCCCCCTGGGATACATTTCTTTATGCGACAAACTGGGTAAATGGTAAAGGAAAATAGATCTTACTAGTTCAAGTGAAGAATGGTTGGGATGCTAGTTATCTTTGAGTTTGGGCATTAGAATTCACTGTGACACTCAATCTGAATTGGGTTCAATTAATTCTGAACATTTCTAGTTCATTTCGAATCTACTGCACTGTATTTACCTATCATTGCAGTATGTACATAACACTAGAGCTCTTGATCTGCTTTTTT